TAACCGGCTCTGGTATATCCTCGGGTTAATAGAATCATAAGACGACTGCAGCAATGACCTTTAATCGTAGCGCTATGGTTATAATAACCGTTATTGGTTATGTATTATGCGAGTACAGTATGAGCATTATATTTTATTTATTTAAGTACAGTACACATGTCCTCTTGCCGATATGCATGAAAACAAGCGAACGGGCCGCGACCCCAAAAAAAAACCAACCATTTAGTGACCAATGATAAAAACATTAAAACATTATCCTGCGTCGCGTTTAAATTTGGCTCATGTTGGTTGAAGTTACGCGCGGGTGAATTAGCCACATCGCTCGACCGCCATGTGCTTGCTGCTCACATCGCCATTTTCCCCCAGAAGGTGCGAACTGCGCATGCGCGCACGCGGGCCTCCACCCCCCACCCACCCCCGGGAGGAGGGGGAGGAAGACGAGAGGCGGTACCTGCAAGAAGTGAATATTTATTTAAACTTATTAATTATTATTTGTCCAGATTCTAGTGTTGGGGTAGCACGCGCGCAGCAACAACAGCAACACCACCAAGACGAACGCGATTACGTTTTTTTTCCCACCAGCTAAGACGTACAAGAGGGTCGCGTCTCTCACCTCACGTGACATCGGAAGCCGGCGGCCATCTTACGTAGGGGACAGCTTTACCCCCCACCACCACCACCACGCCATTCGATTTCAATGGAGTGGTGGTGGTGGGTGGCGGCACGAGGTTGTCAATGGGCGTTGTGGCATCGCCGACGCCATCACCGTGCGGGTTGTAAACGAAACCACCCCCCCCCCATCTCCATCATGCCCCGACCACCACCACCACCGCCAACCCCTAACCAACATGGGCAGGCTGCTCGGCTGTGGGGGAGTGCGGCCGGCCACGTTTTGCCAATGGAGTCGCTGCCCCGCCCCCCCGTTAAACGTGCGGCGACGTCACGGCCGTAGGTCTCACGGGTCAAGTTCGTGAGATGGGAAATAGTAAAAATTGAGATTTAGAACGCGCGTGCAATGCTTGCGGCAGATCGCATACACGTTTGACACTGGAAATGTTATTTTATGCGATGCACTGAACAACTTTAAAGTTAACGTACAAAGCTTTACTTGTACTTTTGAGGACCCATTATTTGCAAGTATTGGTCACTCAACTCCATAATTGTCCAAGCCCATGCCCAAATGTACCATCTGCAAGCCTCTCTTTGCCAATCCACTGCTGGGGGTTGTGGGAGTTATGTGACCATACTTCAAGATGTTCAGTGCAAGTTAAAGAAGTATAGCACAATAAGGTTTGTTTTCTACACAGCCCTCTGCTTTCAACTACGTAGCTCGGCAATAGCCTATAACACTTATTATAGTATGAATATGAATAATATTGGGCTTGTTTTCACACGAAACCCTCACCGATTCTCAAGAAAAAAATCAAGAAGGTCGTGCCAGTTTTTTGCAGTAGGGGGTCAATTTTGCAAACGTGTAATCCCAAAATGTGTCATTTGCAGGTAGTGGTTCTGCATTAACAGCTTGGCCAATACGAGTTACATTCATAGTATGGATAGGGGGGGTTTCGGCTATAGGAGGAAATCAGAGAACCCAGAGAAGCCCATGCAGAACTGGGGAAGAACATTCAAATTCCACATCGTAAAGGAGCCCCGGTCAGAAATAAAACCAACTTCTTGCTGTAAGGCACAAATGTTCCCACTTTTCACCATAATCATGTGTGTCGACATGTGTTTACATTGTACCATGTTATACACGCTTTAATCATTTGTTTTTAATATTGTTGTGTTCTGCCGGATGACAAAATTACCTGGAATGTGCTCATCATGGATGAGTGCTTTGATGGGCAACCACCAACGCATAATAAAAACAGGCACTATAAGGCATTACAGCAAGAAGCAGGGACCATCACTTCCATGCGTTGTCTCTCTGTGGCAGCCCTCCGCCGTCTGGAACGCGATCTTATTCCACAATCGCAGCATCCAATCTACACGTCCTACTTTGAGACACTTAAAAACCACCCCCCCACCCGCCCCGGCTTTCCAGCGATAATGAGCTTGGCGCCGTGCCTTAACAGTCACGGCCATTTATGTCTCACATATTGGACCGTACGTGTAACATTGCATTGTTATTATTGGGGGACAGCAAAGGGGCAGTGCAGTAAATCCAGTTTCGTACCTGGCCCACCTTAACCAAACCACACGGGCCAGCGTTAAATATGGACAAATCACCTTCACGACCCATACGGTATGGGGAGGCCCTCTTCCAAGCAGTGGATTGAAAAATTGGCTGTGCATGTGTAACGACATAAATGGGCCGTTCTATGGCGACAGCGTGTGTACTATACACAAGGGCTCACAAGAGGACAGGTTCCGGATGTCACGGAGGTCGGGTCAGGACATGACAGTCTGGGCGAACCCGCGAGAGCACGTGACCGGGCGAGGGGGCACGGGGGGGGGTCCCCAGAAGGGGGTGAGCGGGCCACGTGATGTGGACCCAGACGCTTCGCGAAGGATCGAGAAAGGGGGCGTGACCAGGGGCGTGACCAGGGGCGGAGCCCGGTCACCCCACAGGAGATAAAAGCCGAGCACCGAGAGGGAGCATGGCTGATCAACCCGCCAAAGAAGTCGTCTTCTCCGATCTTCGCTCTTCAGTAAGCGACGACACGACGGCGTGTCGGCAGTTCTGGTTCAATCATATATGGAATCCGTTCAAGTGGTTAGGTGGTTAGGAACGGTGGCCACTGCCTTACGTAGTTAACCTGTAATGTACATAGTCGCTAAGAATGTACATAGTTAACCTTGGAACGTTGAATAGTGTTGGTTGTATTCTTGGTTCTTTCGGTAAAGTCACGTAGACGGGAAACAATAAAAGAATAAATAAATATAAAACAATAAAATTCTCACGACGTTCCGACTGCAACACAAGCAATCATCATCAGGTGTGAAAACCACAGAAAATTTGAAAAAAATGTCTTGCTGTGGTTTTCACACCTGATGATGATTGCTTGTGTTGCAGTTGGAACGTCGTGAGAATTTTATAGCGAAATATTTATTTATTATTTTATTGTTTCCCTTCTACGTGACTTTACCGAAAGAACCAAGAATATGAATTCCTGCAGTCACGAAAGCTTTAAATCAGTGTTGTTTGTGTTAGAGAATAAAACGTGTTGTCCCTCAGTCTTGGTGTGCGCCTGATTAGAACACACTACACATGTGCTCGTGTTCTCTCACTCGCTTTAGTTATGAACCCTTGTAAGAGACCTGTCATCTCGATGGGTTCTCACCTAGTGAATGAAAGTCTGTTAGTGTTATTATCCACTGCTGGATGAAAGGCCTCCCAATGCCATCGCCATGCCCCTTGGTCCTGCGATGTCGCATAACCCCATTCACTGCTGCACATCAACCGTCTCATGTGGGCATCTGTGCCACCAACCCTCTGGGTAAACAAGCATAATAATAAAACTCCGTGCAGCTGTTAATGTTTACGATCTAGACGTTAATATTCTCCTCTGATGCCTCTTCTACATTAAGTGCCTTCAATAGCACCTTGCCTTAAAATATACCTGTTGTGGTGGTTCCATGACTTACAGTGCTAAAATTACCGCACTGCCAAATGCTACCTCTCACCTCTGGTGTCCTGAAGATAAGTGCGCTGCCGAAGTTAGTCACAAGGGACCACAGCTGCTCAACGTACAATGGCAGTGACGGGGTGTAAGGCTACATTGGGACGCCAGGGATGTCTAATTGGTCTTATCACTTACTATTCAAGGCAGGTGCAACTATTAAATAGGTGTAACTATTTCTCGGACATTAAATTGGTTGAAATGATCAATGCATTAGCAGTAATCTTGTCTAATGAGTGGGTCACGATAACTCTCGTAGACATCCAACGTAAATATATTTTTGGCATAAAGTTATGTTATTAAGGAGTTACCTTATAGAATAACAGCCAAATTGATCTAAGGGTCACCCAAAACTTGGTAATAAAATACCAGTGCTAAAAGCATTCACCTTGTTGGTCATTACGTGACATTGCAAGGTTATAACATTAGGTGTGAAGTAATCTCATAATGCAATTATCGCAAATTAAATACTGAGAGCGAATTTTGGAAATCACTCCAGAAACCATGCATATGTACGATTTATCTTCCTTGTTTTGCTATTGTGGTTCATGTAGCAGCCATTCGGGGCTGATATGAACGCATCACGTACAACATATACGAATAACACAACATACGATTCTCATGCTATTTGATGCATGAATAATTAGCCTAAGATTGGCTATGAATAGATGCATCGTTGCCAAAGTAATTAAAGCTATACCTGCTCTAAATCCTAAATCACATATGAAGTAGATGCCATCTCCACCACCAAACTATATCAATGTCTCACCAGCATAAAACAGTATTGAGGACAAATATATTGCGATTTCGTTGACACATAATAGATATTAAATGTGAGACTATTGGCAATATCATTATCTGACACACTATTACACTCGTAAACATTTTAATAGCACCAACGTTGTATGAGAAAACTAAGCATGCACAGTACATTATGATGAGTGAAAGTGGTCATAAAACCTAAGACAATCAATATAAAATGCTGACTGGATGATGGCACAAAGAGGACCAAGATTTATTTGTCTCTATTGAGACAATGCTAATAGGCAGCTCCTGTTAAGATTGCCACGGACTTCAAGGTGGTGTTGTGTGAGGACCAAACTCACCCAACCACATTGGTCTTCCTCGTATTGATGGCGAGCACATCACACTCGGGCTTAATTTATCTCTGAATATATTCTGGGTCGTTGGACAGATTAAAGTAGGCTTGTGACTAGAAGCCACAGTGTAGGAGGTAAATTGGATGTGGTGCGCTGGATGCAGAAATACTTTCTGGGTCACCTACCCCGAGTGACCCAACTGAAGTTAAGCCCCGACTCAACTCCCCATGGATATAATATATATGTATACACATACAAACACATAGGGACACTAACATTCATTAACACTTTTTTACTAATTCCTATCACAACCACCACACGATGTAAATTACGATATTCAGTCTCATCTTTATCAAGTTATTATTTCGAACAAAAGCATTTCTGTATGGCCGGCCCTTAACACAGAATGGGCACATGAAAGCCAATGTTTTTATTGCCTCTCCGATAACACATTGGCGAGCTATATAGCACATGATAATACAAACAGGACCGCAGCAGTGTTCTTACCTCCTACACAGCACATTATGATAGTGTACATGTGTCCTATTACAATCTATTGAAGAGTATATCCACATATTGACAAAGTAAAATAAGTTCGAGCCATTCTCAATCAACCAATGGTTGAAGGCCTCACCTCACAATGTTGGTCATAGGTTTATTGTTTACCGTACTTCACCACGCTTGTCAGAACAGGCTGCTGCAGGGATGGGAAGGGTAAAACCGGTTCTGATATCACTTGATACTGTTGGTCATGGCCGGAAATCGAAATGGGTCACAGAGTTCAAAGTACGTTAATCACTGCAAATGTGTCAAAGCATAATTGACACTAGTTACATATTCCTATGGCACAAATGAAACGTACAATCTGCTCGTCCGTGAAAATGTCTAGATAAATCACGCATCATTAAGCGCAAACGCACATTTAGAACCTGGTTCTCAAAAATAGGTTGGCAAACGCAGAGCTGCGGCGAATGCTGGTACAGAACCACTGTCCTTAAAAAAACACAAACTTGTAAATCAAGTATGCCGTGTGGAGGAGGGCATTTGTGCAGTCACGTCGGCCAAGTTCCCCCCCAGTTTTACATGGACGCACCCTACAGGAAGTGGCACTGTGAAGACCCACGGCTAACACGGGTTTTGTGGATCTTTTTTTTTCTTAGGGAAAATCTGCTCCAGTGTTCAACAATTACCACTCAACAGTACCATATTTTGCATGTTAGTCAAGCTATACCTTGCAGTGGCTGCTTGTACGTAATAATGGCTTGCAAACTTCCCAAATCGTACGTGAACTAACCCAACAGGAATACAATAACGATACTTTATTCACCCACAAATGCCCGATTTGAGCTTCAAGACTGACATTCAGGAAGGCCCTGTTTCGAAGGTTTGGGCAACATCTTAGTTCAAGGGTCTTTTTTGTACATGTATCAACCTGAATGTCTAAAAATACACACAGGTGTAATGTTCTGTTACGTTCAATATTTAGTGGGCACGTTACGATTTGCCTCTCACGAGTGAACGAACTGTCACAATTTGGGGTGACGATTTAAGAATAAATTATTATTTAATCACTGTGGTAATAATCAGACTCTCTCGTGATTGCAGGGGTAACGTGAAGTGATCACATACGATTAGAAAATACTGTAATTGATGTATCGCACACACAATTGTATCACTAGTGTAATCATAGTCTTGGTTCTTTCGGTAAAGTCACGTAGAAGGGAAACAATAAAATAATAAAAATATAGTTTCCCTTCTACGCGACTTTACCGAAAGAACCAAGAATATGAATCCCTGCCGTCACGAAAGCTTTAAATCAAAATTTAGTGTAATCATGTATCCATCGATGAATCGATGGGCGACATGTAGAAACTGGTGTTCAGCGTTAATGACAAGTAGGCACAAGAACGTAAAGCACGTATTCCTAGAGTATAGTACTTATAAAATATAAAAAAACACACCCATTGCGACTTGCTATTAATCATAACCGTATGTTTTGATGAGGTTTTACCTTTCAACATGATACAGCACATACATGGGTATGATACTTGAGTCCATGAAAAACTCAACTTTCATTGGTGTGCATTGTAACAATGTGCATTGAAAGAACCCGACTTTTTATACATATTTAGAACATTATACGAAGCCACTTGAGCTATGCACTTTTAAATCGAGGTTGAACAAATTATTTGTTTAGAACTGCTTTTTGTGTTTAGTTCTTTGTCCTTCCACCGCACATTCGATTCGCACGGTTTGACTGTGTACGGTGGGAAAAAAAGTTCAACATGCATACCTCGTGAATCTATTGCTATTTACAGTACTCACTTCATAACAGTCATTAATAAAACTCTGTGGCTGAACAAAACATCCAAGGATATCTTACCTGTTAATTCTCTATAGAACAAATGCATATCCAGGATATTGTCTTAAAATTCCATTCAAATGCATATATTTTAACACGTAGGTTTTCCCCACCAATAACATTCGAGCACGATCTTATTTTTTGGGGGGGGTGGCCAATTATACAGAATATTGTTTTATATTTTTATTATTTTATTGTTTCCCTTCTACGTGACTTTACCGTAAGAACCAAGAATAATGAATCCCTGCAGTCACAAAAGCTTTAAATCAAAATTTAAACATACATTGTTTAAAACACTCTAAATGACATTCCTATATATTTTTTTTCCTGTTTTGATATTTTTTTATCCTGAATTCGACCTGTAAAATCAATAATTTGCCTTAAATATAACCCGTATGTATGGCCCCTAGTATTATTGGTGCGTACAGTATGCATCCACAGTAATGCATCCACTGAAATAATTACGTTTGCTATTTTAAAAATGGCCAGACAATATCAAATATCCACAAACACGATGTATGCTCACTCAATTCAATTTTTGAGCCAATACAGTAAACTGCAGACCAGCAATATGCAATCACTTACCGTTCATTTCTACTAACCAAATGATTCTGGTGACGAATACGTATTTCTATTGATGTGACAGGTTTAAAGGAAGATGCAATAAAACATCAGCTATATCATAGCTACACACCAAAGCTGTGTATATCATCAGCCAGTCTCACATGACTGAAGCTTTGTGAATGAGAATACATGTTAAGTAACCTGCAGTGATATCTAATGATATCCAATGATATCACTGAAATGTACTAACCAAATCGTGTACTATGGATGGCACTGCAGTGAAGATAACTCAGAAAAAAAATATCTTGTACATACATTTTTTTTGTGCAATTCACCTTCTTAACTGCTAATGAATTTGCATTAAATAGTTAACGTCTGGATTTAAAATACTGTTGTATTCTAAATGAATTCATGTAACCAAGGTCACCCTTGCATGAATCATGTGTCTCAACAGGCGTACGTTTCACCTCCCTGCTAAATAAAGGCAACTACAATTCATGAATATTCAAACCTCATATTGGACAGCACGACACACCTAGCTGAAGTATGTTCATGTATAATGGCTACATTTGGCTGCAAGACTTCTTCAACTTACCCACGAGCTGAAATAGGTCATTGGCGCAAATTAATCGCTTGCACACGTGAATCATTTGTTTGGCTGCATTGGGTGGGTGGTGGGGGGTCTGAACGAAACAAATAAGGTCAAATCATTGTGGCCCCATCCACATATCAATTCCAAATCATTGTACTGTATCTACACGATAATAGATATTTATTTTATTGGTGGAATTTTCCTTTAAACCATCTCAACATGAATTTCGATTTAAAGCTTTCGTGACTGCAGGGATTCATATTCTTGGTTCTTTTGGTAAAGTCACGTAGAAGGGAAATAATAAAATAATAAAAATAAACTACAATACAATTCTCACGACGTTTCGATTATTTTATTATTTCCCTTCTACGTAACTTTACCGAAAGAACCAAGAATACATCTCAACATGGTTAAACTGAAAGGTTTTGCCGCGGGCGGGTTCAGCCGTCCCATGAAAGAGCAATACGATGCAGTTTACAAATTCCCCACAGCAGCGGCAGTGAACCTTCATGTGCAGTTTAAGGTGTTGGATGTATCAACGCAGTACTCTATATTTAAAGCCAAAAATGCAGTGACAGATCACACAGCAGGATAGAACTACGCCTGTCCGCAACGGTTAAAACCCACCGCGCTTTGGCAGTTTCCCCCATAAGTTCGTAATGGAAACACCTGCACCGTTTTCACAACACAAAAAATGCATGCGAGATAAACTATCACCAAGATGCGAGTCTGGTAAAAGATACAGTGTTTCAAAATAATTTCTGATCAAAAGAATGATAATCGTAATTCCAATGCACAGAACACGAAAAAAAATAGCTGAATAAATGTTTAAAGTGCAAGCTCATGAATTACACTGCCGCTTCAGAACAAAACAAACCTCCAGCATTCGTAAACTTCGCTATGAGCAATAGCCATTATATCATCACGATACCATTGTGACGATGCTCACTAGGAGTCACGATTGCACGCGTGATGTATTCAAAACAATCACTGTGTTTCAAGTATTGTACTTCAAGTGAGAAAACTTACAATAAGGCGAATTGAAAAATACTGTACAGTATTATACGTAACATCGTGACAGGTAATGTAAATACACCAAAATGTTGCCCATCGCAGGAGTTACGTTCTGGAAAATCGCCGCAAATCTGTAAATCCACAATCCGCAAACTCAAAGGCATGTGGGAAAAAGATGTTTTGGTTCAGAGTTTGTAATGACACCCACCCCCTCCTTTTGTTTTGTGGCTCTACATTAATCCAAACGTGAAACACGAAGCATTCTTTACGTAAAATATTATTCATATTTTCTAATGTGATAAAAAAAAACACTTGTACAGTATATTAACAGAATAACAATTAACGTAGCATACAGCACAATACCGTAAACGTAAAAACCTGATCACAACTGCCTCACTGGATCCTGGGAACACGTGAACTGGAACACGCAATCGGCTGCATGGGAGCTGAAGATGGCATGTGTATTCTTGAGCAATGCAGTTAAGAGTACTTGTTTACAATCCATCCAGGAAACTCGTGGTCAACCGTGGATGGCAAAGCCAGAGGGACGCAACTGGCGAACCATACCTCAATAATTTAGGCGCGAATGGTCAAATCCGTGATGACAAAACCCACATGCATTGTGTTTATATCATCAATCTGGGATTTAAACACCTCCCTAATCCTGAGTGTTATTCAATACTGCACAATAAGATGTGCATAACATCAATGCATTCATATATTCCCATTCATTTGTAAAACGTTTTGTGTACCAATGGGATGACTTCACGTTGAAGCAAACAAGCAGCGGAACGTTAAGATACGGGCTGGGCTACTCGCACTTCAAGGCAGCGCCTACTGTGGCATGGTGGCATTTGGTAACGTGTATCTTCTCTACGTTGTAGATAAAAGAAACATGGCAGTTGGGCAGGACACGTCGATAGAATAGACGATGACCAGTGGGCGAAAATAACTGCTGAGCACCAGCCAAAGGAAGGGACGTACCCACAAGGATACCCACCGTGGAGATGGAGCAACGCGACAGGCTCGTGTGCAGGTGCCGAGTGGATTGTTGTATCGCGGGACCGTCAGGGGAAGACGACGACTTGGGGAGGCATTCATCCAGCAGTGGATTGATCACGGTTCATGAGGACAATGATCAGCTCTACACTTGACCCCTGCCCACAAGGTTGTCTCTCCGCTGGTGCCTCGTGGGCAGAGGAGGCCAAGTGTGTAGCCGTGAGGGACTCCTGGCCGCAGCAGGTTGACAGCTGCTGTCAAGAGCTAGGATCGGGATAAGCCAGGGGGCGGCAACCAAAACAACAAGAAGAGGCCTTTTTTGTCGAATTCGGTACAAAAAAACCCAATATTTCAAGAGCCATAACGCATGTGAATACAAGACGGTGGTCCGTAATAAATAACGTCACGCAAACAGTCCTTAAAGAGCCGCATGTGGCTCCGCAGCCACAGGTTACCAACCCCTGCCCATGGTAAACTGAACTCGCGTGCTGAAACGGACTTCCATGGTCAGGGGTCAGCAACCAAAATAACAAGAGACATTTTTTTTTGAATTTCAAGAGCTGCACCGCTGTCCTTAAAGAGCTGCGTGCAGCTCCAGAGCTGCAGGTTATCGACTCCTGGGATAGGAGTTCATTGAGGAGAATTTACCCGGAGGTGTGTAGGAGAGTGGAAACTGTTTCCTGATTTCTCAGACATGCATTTCCACACTGGACTTAAGTACGAATTATACAAAGTTGTTAGTTTGGTTAAAAGCTCTGTTAGCAAAAACCTATTATGGTCAGCACAAGATATTCAGAATTATGTTGCCAGCAAAATGCATGCTGAGCCGCCAGTCTCCGAAGGTAATATTAGCCAAACCACCACCACCACCATATTCTTGGTTCTTTCGGTAAAGTCACGTAGAAGGAAAATAATAAAATAATAAAAATAAAACAATAACATTCTCACGACGTTTCGATTGCAACACAAGCAATCATCATCAGGTGTGAAAACCACAGCAAGAAATTTTTGAAAAAGAGTGGCGGTTTTTGGCGAATCCCTGCAGTCACGAAAGCTTTAAATCGAAACACCACCATACCAGGTACTCACGTTTGGGTGAGTCAACCAACTGGACACCCACACCAGTTGCATTATGACCAGGAATTAAACCATGGCTTCGATGATCCACTGCACCACAACTCCCAATAATGTCTATACTAAATTTCAGTGAGAGTTTTCTTGTCATCGCCTAAGAACAGGAACTGGCAACCAGCAACGAAAGAAATCGAACAAGAAAAGTGAATAAAAGTGTTTTTTTAAAGACTCTTTTGTAAAAGAGTGAGAGAAATCTGTATTTTTAACAAACCACACTCTGTTGAACTCTGGAACGCTCTTCCTTCTGATATTAGGAAACCACTGGAGCTTTTGCACTTTTAAATCTAAATTGAAAATTAATTTCTTTAGAACTCCTATTTGTGTTGAATTTGTTGTCCTTCACTGATACCTCCGATTAAGACGGTTGGCTACATATGGTGCAAAAGAAATTCAACGTACACACATACACACACTGCTGCTGTCCATCAGCAGTCCCGCCGCTGCTGCTGCTGCTGCTGTTGTGTTGTCCTTCTGACGCGACTGGAGGCGACGAGCTCTCTGACCTCACGAATGACCAGGGGCAGCAGGCAGACTATGGTGAGCAGCGTCTATGTGGATGGTGCAAGGGGCAGAAACATTGAGAAAACACAAAAAGCAAATCACTGCCATCAAAACTTAACGCCGCTTCTTTCCTCCGACATATTTTTCTCCAACTGTATCCCGACTGAGCTATCGGCCAAATGTTACGAGACAGAGTGTCCGTTCGTGTTAGGAAACGGTCCACGGAATAAGATAAAATCATGTGTACTTTTGGTTTTCACGCCATTCCCATTGCACGAAGCCATCACGAAGGCTCTGTGTTGCACAGACAAGTATAGAATGTGTAGGTTCACAGTAATTGTGTTTTATTTCAATAAAGAATATTTATAACTGTTTTAAAATTAATTAACACGTTTCTTTTTTAGAACAAGATATGAGTCAATCAAGAGGTAAAATACCATTTATATTTGTGTCAAGACATATATTATGCATATTCAGTATGCATAGGTAGTCTCATTTATAAACTGCTATGGGCCACTGAAACACAGTGTTTATTTTACAAGGGTGTAAGCTAACAAGGCAACCGTGGATTTTTGATGGACTGCTAACATCTGGCTCAATGAGTCTTAGGCATCTCTACTGAATCATAAAAAAACCCGATGTGAGTTTAGCTTGCATGCTAATGGCAATTCAAATTAATTATATTAGTATGTTATTGTGGTGTTTAAATAATTACTTAAATATATATCTAAGGAAAATGACTGTGATTGCCAATTGTTCATCTAATGGCGTGTGTGTAATCATCGTTTGATTTGTATGAATCAAACTTTATGTGGCTCTTTATTTTAAGCTAATGGTCATAATGAAGGAGACGGTACAAATGAGATGGAAATAGACAGAACAACGAAACAATACAGAGTGTAGAGACTATTCAAACAAAACAGGACCAGATAGCGGAGATGACAGAGACTGTACAGACGATCTAAATCAGCGGTGTAGTGATCAAGTGCGCAGACAGTGTAATTGCACAATCGATAGCAAGCCCACGGGCTGGAGGTTCCCAAGCGCTGGAGGTGCCCAAGCGCTGGGCTACGAACAAGTGGGTGAGTGGGAATTGGACAGGGGGCACTGCTTAGCCCATGCGAACCTCGATACGCGACTGGAACAAAAATAAAACAGTACAGCAAGACAAAACACTGAAGTGATCCTTTAATTGAATCGTGACTCTATAACGTGACACTTCATGAAATCACTGAGGTGGCGAATCGAGGAATTCAAAATTATATAGCATACAGCGCAGTGTTGAGACACAGCAAACTCCCCTTGCTACACTGCTTTGTAAATTCTAAAACCTCACCGGCATGCAGACAGGCATGTTACTCATTTTGCACAAACCGAGCCTCTACAGGATTCGCCAAGCCTACTTGGGTTAACAGGTTTAAGGAGCAATGAAGGGAGGGTCATAGGGCACCACGGTGGCGAGATGTGAACTACCTCCACTGGTATACAGGATGTCGGTTCGATCCCAACCCTGATGCCTGTATATTTGAAGTTTGCATGTTCTCCCCGTAGTGGTATGGATTTTTCTACGAGCCCTCCGGCTTTCCCCTTCATATTTAGAAACATGCGATTAGAATATTTGGCTGCTATACATTTAACCATAATAGACCACCTCTTTAGGCTATCATTTGTGGCCAGGTCACTTCTGAAAATTAGCTATATAGCTCAATGGGCCTGACCAGGTAAAATAGAAAATATAGTTTAGATAGAAGACAGTGTTTACTGCAGCAGGAGCAGGTGGTAGGGTAAGGCCGTGTGCGATCAGAGAGACATATTTTGGGTGTGATCGGAGAGGTAAGTAAGAGCAAGACTGTAAAAAAGATTTGTAAGATATGGAAGGTTGCTCTGCATGTTGTTTCAGAACTTACCATCAAAATGAAGAGATAAAACACCCATCCCCAGCCAAGTTTGTTTTTTATAACAGCCACCAAAAACTGAAATAGATAGAAGAATAAATATGATGGTACAACATTTTCGTATGCAATGCAACACTCATTCATAATAATGAATAATATTGGTCGCGAAAGCCTACGTGTTAAAATGCAACACTCACTTTGATTAGCAGAGCATTTTGAGCTACACACATTCGCCTATGAATGTAACAGAATTCATAGCAATGGTAGAGTGTTCTTTGGTTCTTTCGGTAAAGTCACGTAGAATGAGAATAAATTGATAAAATAACACAATAATATTATTGTGTTATTTTATTTTATCAATTTATTATTTTATTCTCATTCTACGTGACTTTACCGAAAGAACCAAAGAAGATGAATCATTGCAGTCACGAAAGCTTTAAATCGAAATTTAATGGTAGAGTGGTTAGCACACCACACTATTTAGCCAATGACCCGGGATTGATTCCTGGCCACGACTAACATCAGTGACAAGTGATAACTGGGCTTCCCCTTCACCAACCCGCACTGAAGTATCGTCCTCACAGAGGATGATAAGATATACTGTACATATATAATGACTTTTAGTTTATGCAAATTAATTTCAGTGACTCACTCGACAGTGGCATTTGGTGCTACGGGGAGTATTCTAGCAGTAATGCACCTGGACTATGCTTGTAAAATCCTTTTTGTGAATCCACTGCTGGGTGAGGGCTTCCCACACCGTGCAGGTCGTGGCGACTATTTGACCATACCTCACCACGCTGGTCAGTGTGGTTCGATTAAATTGGGTAGGGAGCAGCATACATAGATTGCACTGCACTGCCCTCTGCTGCCCACAACATATCCCTGCAGTAGCCTATTGCAATAGTCACCCGTGCAAACACTATTTAGGCTTAAAACTGCTTAGCTTCCACAATCTGATAAGATCGGCCACTTTCCTGGTGATATAGTCATATGCAAGGGGAACCAATATTAATATGTGAAAATGTTGTCCTTCTCTCGCACCACCGATTTTGTCCTTCCCCCGCACCTCTGATTAGCACAGCTGGCTTCGCACGGTGCGAAAGAAGTTCAACATATATACTGGGTTTGATTGGGTGACGTCCGGACTTGAAAAGGAGAGAAGGGGGTGTTCTATACCTGCCCCACGGAGGCTCCCAGGCTGCCCGTTCCATCAACAATCCCCGTCACAGTGGCCAGAGCCTCCTGGTTTCCCTGAACGGGCCCCTGCCGGCCTAGGTCTGCCGAAACGGCCGAGCTGATCAGATTTGCTGGCCCTCCCACGAAAAATCCTGCGTGAGTCAACAGACACAACTGAACAATCACTACGGTTGTGACCTCTCATTTTTAACAATCACCAAACAAAAATAACTTGATTCCATGTATACGTAATCATAATAATAATAAAGATAGCAATGGTATGCAAGTATCCCAGAGAACTGCATTTAGTATCAAGATGCTCTTAACGGAGGGTCCTGCATTTAAATGTTTGGCCAATTCAATTGCTGTCTGTTTTGTGTGCAGAAGGGTTAGTGGAAAAACAGCATTTATTTCGGCTGAAAATTCAAATTCAGAGCACAATTAAGCTGCTCATTGTTCCAATATATTTTTTTAAATAGCTCTTAGTGGCAGGTCTGGAGTGTTTGTTTTGTTTATAAATGTGTCCCTACCTTAGGAGAATTTTAACCTCGAACTCAGGGATGACCAAAGATAAACACTGACTGCTTGTTTAAGCAGTAGGTATTGTGATTTAAATAAAAACAAACAGTATTTATTTGCAGGAGAAACTAAAATTAACAATTGTCAGCATCGAAGGTTAAACATAATGGAATTGGAAAAGATGTTTGCACATAAAATTTCTGACCTGTAACGCCCATTAAGAAGCCATTCACTGATTTATTGTTCGGAGAATCTGGGGAAAAAAAATGCATTAACAATGTTATAGGCTCAAATTATGGACAGGAGTGTACACTTTAAAACCCAAGTTTAGTGCAGCTGGCAGGATTAGCCTGGGCCAAGCGCTCACATTTGTATCCGACCAGCGAGCCCGTGGCGAGGATGAGCATGAGGGTGATGATGGGCGCTCGCTTGCCCAAACGGTCAGAAACCAATCCCCCCGCCGCTCCACCTGCAGCACAGGAGGCAACAAGGTGGGTTATTAAAGCACAATCAACTCTTGCTCCGTGGGCGGATTGCATGGGTCACTGATTAACCAAACTCTTCCGCACCCTTTGCGTGCAGACTGCTTACAAGCTACTCCTCACTTGATGACTCTGTGCTCACGTGACTGTAAACATGTCGGCATGGAAATCGATTACTTTAAGAAGTAATAAAAACAAGACGACACAATCCATGTCTTTTAGGTTTACTGTCTGCTATTGCACCAATTGGGGTATATGTTGCGTATATATGCAGTGACTGTTCATATCAATGTAATTATTTTTTCACGGAATATACAGTCAAACCTCTATCTTACGTTCTTCAGAGGACAGGATAAATTTAAGTTAATGCTGAGAAAGAGTAAGACCAACAACGAAGGCTATTTCCTGCCATAAAAATCGGGTACTTTATGCTGTTTCAGACAGGCTGCATCTCTCACTCAATGCAACTCCAGATCAACATACACAAATACAGCAAGCATGCACAGATGACAAACGAATTTTGACTTAATTAAACAAAACAGGTGATGGAATAAACTACATCTATTTCCCCCCCTCCTTAGTTACTCGTTAACAATACAGTTTGGCTGTACATTTTGTCGTCACCAATTTACGACGATCCAATTTACGACGAGGTTTCAAGGAACGCATTGTGACGTCGTAAAAGTGGGGACCGCCTGTACTAGATTTTCAAGTGTAAAGAACAGTCTTTATAAAAAAAAAACGCCTGCCCGTAAGAGCGGCATGCGGCTCTTTGGCTGCAAGACCACAATAAGGATAAAGATGGTGAATCAAAGACCATGCTGTTAATCAGCAGAGTTTAAGCTTATTAAGTAGGGGCGGGGAACCTTTTTTCTGCCAAAGGCCATTTGGATATTTATAACATCATTAGCGGGCCATACAAAATGATCAACTTAAAAATTAACCCGTTATATTTGGTCAAATATTTCATTAACTCGCCCCTAATGTGATGGCTGGAAATTCTTCTCTTTGGTGAGGCGTGTGATGTTAGCTGGCTATTGATGAAGTTGCTACTCGCAACTGCTTTTCCAGGTTTGCTCCTAGATTTATTGAATTTCGAGTCCCGCCTGCGGTTGCCTTGGCAGGGCCAGAGACGAAGTGATTCTGCGGGCCTTATACGGCCCGCGGACCGGACGTTCCCCACCCCTGTTATACAGCCTTAGCAACCATTCATTAATTTTCTCTCTCATTCTCTCTCTCAATACAAAGCGACAGGTGTTCTTATGACCGACGGGCATGCAGCATGTGGTGAATGCTCTGCGACGCTCACCGATTATTCCTCCCACGTCATACCAGATGGACATCCGGTCTGCGTCCGCCTCACTCCAGCCGAAATGTCCCGACAAGTAGAAGGGAAGCCAGAAGAAGAAGGAGTAGTTCACCAGCTTGAGGCAGGCATATGCCAGAGAGTACTGCGTACAAAGACAAATATCCCCCGTGTAGCCTTAACAGACTGTTGGGGCAAGCGCTGCTAGCGATCACCTATGAAGGCCGGCTCGACACATGAAGGGGTGAGTGGCCAGCACCACCAGCGGTTCCTGAAGAAGCGAATTGTGGTCCTCTTGTCTTATGTCACTATCAAAATGAATTTGAGAAAATGGGCTCTGGTGTAATGCTAAGCATATGGGACTCGCAATCCAGAGGTCGCAGGACGGATCTCACGGCGCAACAGTTAAAACAATGGACCAGGCAGTTTCTTAAATCCACCCCCGCGCCTCCGTTTACCCAACATCATAAATAGGTACACTGCAGTTAGTCGAATGGCAGGTCGCATGCAGTGGGGTAAAGTACAGGTACTCGCACTACCTTCAGAAATTTTGGCCAGCGAGGAAGAGTAGCACAATACCCCGTAGAGGGGCACGATAAAAATGCCTTAATTTGAGGCTCTTCCGCCAGCAGTCGTGTGAGAAAGCAATTTCCAGGCTGAACCTTCACCTTCTTCTACAATAATGAACACCTACGGGAAATCTCTGAAGAAAAATGTTCTCTGCGGTTGGCAGTGACTCACTCACCAACGCCACACCAGGCAGACACACAGCCTGGAAGAAGCCCAATGCCGGAGGTGGGCTCACGGGGTCACCAAGCAGCGTAGTCTGCTCAACGGCCTCGGCACAGTTCACCGATTCGCCGGCTCCATCCTCGGCACAATCCGGAGCAGGTAATCCTGTGTGGTAGAGGCATGTGCACAGGTCATCTGGATTTTACTGGGAGGGAAACTAGACACTTGGTGCTGGACAGCAGTGTCGTAGTAGTGTGGTTGGCATGGACCCTGGTGCAAGAAATAAAATTCCCCCGTGTTCTTTCATTGTCCCCTCGCACGGAGCTTAATTTCATCTGGATCTGTCCAGGTTCAGCGATGACCCGTATATATACTTACACATCCGGCACACCACATCGAGTATACATATCACTCTGGCTCTGATTACGAGACACACTCCACTCCCAGTCCACTCATGTCCTAGAAATTATTTGGTGATACAATTAAGCTCTGCCCTCTCATGTCACGTCCCCACATGTCAAACTCACATTCCACATGTGTCCAACAAGGTAGACCGAGGAGTCTTGGTGTCACATGACCGGTTCACATAACATACACCCACCAATCACAGTCACGTCTATGCCCCGCACCTCCACCAACCCTCACACTGATTGGTGTGATGAAGCATGGTGAAACAGCCTCCACGACTGACGCAGAGTGCAGAGGCCTTCATCCAGCAGCGGATGGCAATCGGGGTGATAATGCTAAGTTCACGTTATGCATGCGCAAACACGTGGTGAGTCTGGGTCGCTACTTACCGACCTCCAGCGGAGAGCTGACCAGCCCAAAGAAGACGACAATTCCAGAGGCAAACAGGCAACACGCAGTGACGAGGAATGCATACTGCACGCAGGAACAAGCGGGAGACTCGCTCAGTACAAACTCTGTGCGTGAACGCTCGGCGCATGTAAACAATTCACTCAAAATGTTTCTCATTCGACTGTATTTTCTCCAGTTTGCATTCTCATTCATTCTGTCCAGTTAGCTTTATATCCCTAAATGTGATGTACATGTAAAAGTACAGCCCTTTTGTCAATCCACTATTGCATTAGGGCCTCCCCATGCCCAGCACAGGTCCACGCAGGTTCGTGAAGGTGGGAAGCGTGGACATAACAGCTTAGAAGTGCCGTACAAGTGCGTATTTTGCTGCAATGGCATCTGCTGATAACTTATCACCACAGCAGCCTACAACACCTGTTTTGTGTGTACATATCGGTTGTCCATCCAAGCATTATCAAGGCGCAACCCTGCCTAGCTTCTGAGATCTGATGAGATCAAAGGCGAATATAATATATGCATATTATTTTCTTTATAAAATACATTCTTCAGTGCATGATTTGATTCATTTTGGTTGCAACGTTAACAAAATAATTTCTAATAACGCAATTATATATTTATTTTCAAAGTAACCACAGTGCTACACACAGAGTCAATCAATGTGCGCGCTGAATTAATCCGCTTGTGTAACCACGTGCGCCGGACATGTTTCCCGTGCACACATATTTCTTTCTGCAATCAAATTCTCTAACAACAGGGAGGCTTCCCTTAATGGAATGGCAGGCCAGCATGGATTGTTTCCCCATGGCACCCACTCACCTCATAGCCAAACCGGAGCACGCCAGAGACGAGCAGAGCTCCGAGGATGTTCCCCACAGAAGCACAGGCGCTCCACAGCCCAAACACTAGCCCACGACTGTTGGGAGTACACACCGAATATACACACTGAATGTAAAGCAATATTGTTATTAATATTACTGGAATATGTTGTTATTTGAAAGTTGCAGGCTCAGTGCACCAGGCTGCGGGCATCATACTCGATCGAATTGAGAACCTGGTTTAATCGCACGTAGCTGAAGCCTAGATTCAGCCCTAGGAAACAGAAATCCAGCGTCGACACTCACACACCTGATATTAGCCCCCTCTTGCATGTATGTGTATGTATGTTGAACTTCTTTCGCACCATGCGTAGCCAACCGTGCTAATCGGAGTTGCGGGGGAAGGACAGCAAACTAAACACAAAAAGGAGTTCTGAAGAAATTAGTTTTCAATCTAGATTTTAAAGTGCATAGCTCCAGTGGCTTCCTAATATTGGAAGGAAGAGTGGTCCAAACGGCAGCAGAAGCGCATCCTGAACCAAGTGGCCACTTATCTTCACCTGTCTTTGCCAAACCAGTTGCCCATGATGGCAACAACACAAGGCCATCCCGTGGACTGCAGCAAGCCGTTGACGGCCCACATCACAGCATAGAACGGCATGCTGTAGAAACCCAGCCACTCAGTCACAGAGCCGAACACCAGGACCTGCATCACACACAGCGAGGAGACAGCAGAGCAAAGCCTCCCTACACTGGCTGAAGTACCTGACAGTCCAATCGTAGTTTGATCAATGACAAACATTCATACAAGAACCAAATAGCGCTTATATTTTGGATACTGTTAACTCTCTGTCATCTGTGGGATGTACATTATTATCATATATTTTATATATATTTAGTGTCCAATCCAAGGTGACTTGAAAGAGGTCAGGCAAAGGTCAACCTAAATTGTAATGTAGTACAGCACAGGCAATGATTATCTCTGAAGACTACTAAAGTTGTGAAGGTTTTCTTACCACAATAGCGGAAGAGCACATTCCTAGAGTCAGCACCAGACGCAGGTTAAACCTGTCCCCAAGGTAGCCACTGATGTACAATCCCTGTGTACAACAAAAAGTGTATTATTACTACGGGTGTAACGATTTAGCAATTGATTAATATCCACAATTCCAAACCCCCATATAGCCAACAGACTGTTTTGCCAAGTCCTGTTAGTAAGAAAGTGCTGTTAGTGCTTTTCGTGTTTTGTTGCTATTTGCGTTGTTTGTTGTCCTTCCCCTGCACCTCCGATTAGCACGGTTGGCTACGTATGGTACGAAGGAAGTTCAACATACATACATACATATGGAGACCAGTATGGTGTACAAGGGGGGTGTGGTGTGGTTAGTACCATACCCAGCTTTATTTGTATCCCCTGGGGAGGCCCAGAGATCACTCGCCATGGATGTTAGCCAGGTCGCCAGGTTCGCAGCGCAGTGCAGTAGCCACTGCACCAACGCTCCGTGCTCAGGATGGAGACACCAATACACACTGCTCTACCATTCGGGGAGGCTGGAGTGCAATTTCCTCAAAATGGACATGTACCACAGCGTACGAGAAGAGGAAGATGGTGTCCAGCGCTCCCAGGAAGAGTGATGCATTGTTTTCGTCGGGAAAGAGCTGATGAGCTGACCACACCTGTTGAAAAGAAATCAATGTTAATAACCGTATAATTTTATTATAAGGAAGAGCAAATGATCTAGCCAAGTGATGCTCTGTTACAGTATGCTCGACTAACATTTTATACGTTTAAAGACCTGCCAGAGATTGACAATGAGCATAACTTAATGGAAAGTTATATTGGTTGTACTATAGAGAAACTGGTCTCCGCTTTAGGCATTTGGAACTTGGTGATATAACGTTATATCTTAAACTTAACTCTTTTCATGATTTGTAGTTTGCAATAAAAGCAGAATGTCAGTGTAGCAGTTCATTATTGGTTTTGATCATTTCAATTTTTATAAAGCCATGGCTTGAGAGAGCTTAGAAGGCTACATTAGTTTCGACCGAATCAAATCTTACATTAGTCTACAAAAAACGAAAATAATGGCAATTTATGTCAACGTGTCTATTATAGGATCTGAGTGGTGACATATCTGTGGTCAATGGTAAAAAAACATTTCTCCAATTTAACTTGCCCATGTGGTTAGTTGGCGTCTAAAATATGTATTATTTGGTTTCCTGTTAACTTCGTGAACAGTTTCATACATAGTAGAGGGGTTTTTTTTTGGGGGGGGGGGGCTAATGGGTCTGTAATTATTAAAATATATTTTCCTCTCTTTTTGAATGGAAGAACGATTAAAATAGAATTTGATGATTGACAAAATATATTGATATGTAAATATTTAGTAAATATTGACTTAAAGCTTTCGTGACTGCAGGAATTCATATTCCTTGATATTTTTATCATTCTTTTCTATCTAAGTGGCTTTACCGAAAGACCCAAAGAATATTTAGTAAATAGGTCTGCTAATTGTTTCAACAGCTGGTTCTGATTCTGTGATGATGTGTATTGAGAGTAGAGTAAACCTACGGTGCGAGTGGACTAGCGGCCACGGGAGGTAATGACAGGTGAGTCAGCTTGCAGTGCAAATGGAATAGTGGCCACGGGAGGTAATGACAGGGGAGTCAGTTTGCAGTATGAATGGACGAGTGACCACGGGAGATGACAGGGGAATTAACTTGCAGTGCGAATGGACTAGCTGCCATTGGAGGCAATGACAGGGGAGTCAGCCTGCAGTACGAATGGACTGGTGGCTACGGTAATGATCAAGAATAGGAGCGTGGCCAGGTGACGGAAGAGGATGGTAGAGTCTGCTGGTGTGGAGCAAGCGGTCTAGAACCAGCGAAAAGGTTCAGCAATGTGGGCGTGGCCTCGGACCGTATATAATAGAGATGCGCGGGAGACTCGGGGCTGTTGCAGTGGGGTCTCCGCTTGCTCGAGTGTGAGCACGTGGCTCTTTAAATAAAGAAACCATCTCAAGACAAGTGCGTCGAAGTCGTCATTACCCATGTACAGTAGTCCAGGAGCTTTCCCTTTTTCATTGAAAGGGCAGTGGTAACTTCTTTAGGTGTTACATGTTAAATATCACCTTCTCCATCTAACAAGATATGTTCCAGTTATTGGATTGTCAAATTAAAAGGCAAAAAACATATATGGAAAAAATATTAACCATTTCAGATTTGTTGACGGCAGCCATTGTAACAACCAATGAGGATGGACTACAGGAGATTATTGAAGAACTTAAAAAATGCTGTAAAGCTGAGCTCAAGAAAATTTTGAGCATAGGAAAAGTCATGTACAACATGTTTGCCAAGGAAATAATTGTTAGCATAAAACTGGAAAACATTGCACATTGTTTTTACCCAATACATTTATTGAAGGAAGATCGAGATTTTAAAAAAGAAATATATAAGTAGACGAGAGCAGGTTGGAGTGCTTTTGAAAAACCAACTTGACAACATAAAGCAACATACTACCGGTGTGTAAAAAAAAAAATCAGTGAATATTACCTGTTATGCCACATGGGTGACAAACGTGGACATTGACAAAGAAAATTAAACAAAAATGGAAAAGGGCACAAAGAAGCATAGAGAGAGAATAGGCAATAAATGAAAATCAGAGACATTGCTTTGTCTATTCAGGAAAGTAGATAAGGCTGGGCAGGACACATCGCTGGTAAGGATGCCAACCGATGGACAAGACTTTGTGACAGAATGAGATTTGTTTCTTGCAGGAGTGAGATGGTTTGTGGCATTGCATGACCGTGACCGATTACACCAGCGTGGGGAGGCCTTCATCCAGCAGTGGACAGACATGGCTGATGATGATGATCATAGGAATGTGAAATTCCACCACTGGTGCAGGGCTATAATGTGGCATTGAGTGAAGACTGTCTGTGTAATCTCACCTCTGGTGGGTATAGGGTCCCTGTTGATTCGTTGGTGGGTGTACCCGTCCACTGGACTGACAGGCTAACTTTAACATTGCTAAATGTTTTTCGCGTCACGTGGAAAAACGCATAGCTGAAAGACAAGGGGAGACATGGACAAAGACAGGCAGACATTAAAGCAATTAAAAAAAACACACACTGGTTGGCCCCATACCAAGTGGTATTATTTTCAAGGGAGATATTACATAGCCCAGCTCAGGCAAGCTGCTATCAAGCTTGGAGTGATCAGGGAGTCTGTTTGTATGGCACCCAAGCTTTGGAATTCCCTGCCATTTGGGGTTACGAATTCACAGTCATTGGAGACTTAGAAGTCCCAGAGGAAGACCCATCTATTTAAAAAGGCCACCTCTCTACAGTTCTCTATCATGTCACAAGATAGTATTTCTTTCCCTGGTGACTTATCACTTATTTTCCTCATTTGTATGCATGGTGAACTGAGATCCGTTGTTCAAGTGCACCTTATGATATTAAATGATTATTCTTAAAGACTAAAAAATTCACAAAACTTTCACAATTAAAACCACTGACTACTTGTGTATAAGTGTCATTTCAGAAAGTAAACTTCCATGAATTCAGTACTTCTATATTAAAAATGACATGATCTTTTAACCCATGTATGTTTTAACATGTGTCACTTTCAAGCATGCAAAAATATATGTCCTCATCAAGCCAATTAATTTTCTCCAATTGCTGACAAATGTTGTCGATAATGGTGATGAGGCCAAGGTTGCTGAAGGTACTAAACATAATGATGCCGATTCTGCTGCTGCTCATATTGTTGATGATGATGCTGATTCTTCTCTAAATGCTGGCGCTAATAATTAAATTGCTGCTATGATTATGATTAAATTATGGTAGGCAGTGTGTACAGTTTGAATGGGTTTGAATGTGCCCCTCCTATGTATGGGTTTTTCACCTGCTACTCCAGTGTTCCCACTCATAAAACACTAAATTTACCAAACATCACAATATATCCTGTCCTGAAAAACAACCTTGACATTAATTATGACTTCCTGATTAAAGGTCACTTTAATTAAGCATGGATTGATTCACTTTTTCATTACATACTATTCTTAAGTTCACAATATATGCATTGAATTATGCACTCAACAGCTGAGGATTTATGATCAACGCAAATTCTATTAAATTATTTTAATGGACACATCACATAATTTTCAACGCAATGTTTGATCCTGTATTCAAATCAGTTGGGGTTAGTATAATAATGATCTGTATTCCATAACTGTGGAGGAGACATTGGCACTTATGTTTATGGGCTCTACTACATTCATACGGTAAATCAAGCCTCTCTTGAGTATAATGACCCCACAGATTACTATTATCAGATGGCTGATGTTGGATTCAAGCCAATGAACTCTGGACCCAGAGTGGGTGAGAACGCCACCAAACCACCCAGTTGATACAATAAAAAGTTAGGAAATATATTGCATATGCATGGATTATGTAACACTTTAATATAGGCATTTATTCCAAGGTAATTTATTTGCAGTATGGAAGCTGACGAGCAACTGTAAGGCAAGACACAATGCACTTGCATATCTACAAACACTAGTCCTTATTTGTCCTGGTATGTGTGTGCAAGTTTTGGGCAACCCTTTGATCAATTTGCCCTATTCCAATAGGGCAAGTCCAGAATGGTAACATGACTTTAGACTACAGTTTGGTTCGTATTTAATCGATGTTACGGATGCACAGATTTTGGAACACAATCGACATACTAGTAAACATTGATTCAACTGCAAAAGTGGACATTGACGTGCATTTTATACGGTAATCAGAATCGCAAGAGCACCAAGATAAGAAACACAAATGAAGCACACTGCAAACAGACTGCTGGCAATATCACAACATTAAAACACATGGGACACATAAAATAGAATCTTAACATTTGGAGAATGTTTCTAAGAACACAGATGACGTAGAAGAAGCACAAGGCTGACTATAAGTTTGATGGAGCAACAGAACTGCATTCTGTTAACAAATATGTGCGACGATCATAGCAGTGACACAACTTCCACTTGCCATCACCACTGGTTACAAGAGACGTCAAATTTAAAAGAGCGCAATTAACAATGGGAAATATCATGTAATATTTGGCGTAGGTGGACCGCAATACTGCTTTAAACTAACCAATGAATGTAATTGCACAGCACAAGTACGGACTGCACAGTCTGGGCTGAATGCACCATCGACCACAGCGATACCTAAAGAAGGTGAGTAGGAAGACACAAAAGTGGTGATGGGTCCAGCCCCGTCTGGGGGCCTCAGGTGCCAGCATTGCTCTTTGTGTCAATGGAACTTCGAGTCAGCTTCCCTGCAGACAAACACAATCAATCATGCATGCACACACGCACATACAAACAAACAACGAAAATGATCAATCAGCCTCAGCAAGGAGCTAACTACTATGCTACTAAGTGTCCAAATGTTCAGCCAGTAGTAAAACATTGGGAAAGCTGTCATGTCCAGTGGGGTCACATGGATCCAATAATAATCCTAAGTGTCCGTTTAACACATAGGCTTTTCGGACCAATATTATCCATAAGGTTGTTTGGGTCAGATCGCGTAAATATACGGTAAATGTGTCGAAAATCCACCACCACCACCACCCGACACAGCCAATTAGTAGGTTTGTCACGTAAACAAAACACGTCAATTAGTTACTGGCTCAGCATGTCGTTGTGTTGTAGAGTAAACCCACAATATTTGCAATTCGCGTACGTTTCGTGGGAAATTACACCTAGCCTCATCAGGCGACAGGCAGAATTGTGGATAAATCCTCCTTTTTCGGTCTTAGTGTCTGTTATCCAAGAAAACCTCACCGAGTCTCAAGCCTTTTTTCAGGAGGATCCTATACTGAGATGTTAGGCAAATTGTATTAATGTTTGGCATGTACTTGGGTCGACAACCCAAGCACATGAAGGGTTAACACCCAGAGATCCAGAAATAAGGATTCAAATAATCAATTTGCTGTGCTGCCATCTCCCGAGGACCATGCAGCCCAGTGGGTTTTGGCATTTTACAAATCCGAGATGCACCAACCCTCATCTCCAATGTGCTGGAAAGAAGGCACGCACGAACATCAAACCTCATTCGGTGGCAAGGTAAGGAATATCATCCAGCCAACACACTTGAACTTCGCCAACTCATTCGACCTGATCCTACAGCTGCTGTCATGCCAACAGCCGTCCTCCAAGATATGTTGTTTACAGTGATATCACCCACCACCAAGTCCTTTCCCCTTTTTACTCAATCAACATGTGGCTTAGCTTCCGGGAATTGACGAAATCGCAGGGTCCTTCTGGGTTGATTTGGTCAGAGTTAGTAGTGATAAAGTAAAGTACTGTTATTCAAAGGCGTATACATTTTCCATTCCTCAATGTGATCATTTCCTCTACAGAAGCCCTGAGCCAGTGATGGAAGTAGCACAATCCTTTGGTGGGGCCCGAGTAAAACCTGTTTTTTCCTGGATTTTTCTGTTGCGCGTAGTCACTTGAAGATGTTCTTTGTTCATGTTTTTGTTTGTTGCGGTTGCACCCAAGTCAAGAGCCGCATGGCTCACAGAGCTATCTATAAATATAAAAAGGGAAATTTGTGAATATGTCTGTCTGTTCTAAATGTTTAGCATACTTGCCGACATGCAACAAACTTGAAACTTGGCATGTGGGTACTTTCCAGACTGTACACCATGCAAACATTATAAATATAGACTTTTGTATATTTTTTTGGGGGGGAGCGCAATAATGGATATATTTTGCACAGCAAGTGAGTGGTGACGTCACATCTGTGATGTCACCCGCATGCGGAAGCGTCACGCACTGTGCCTGCTTATGTCACCCACCCCCCAATCCTCCGCGGGTACAGTGCCATACAAATGTTGCAGGTCTAAGGCGTTCTTCGTGCAGCATTGCTTAATGATTTGAATCGTTTACTGCCGTATGCACTCTGAACGTTGTGTGTCTGCAGCAAGCGCGTGTATCTGTACCTATGGACGCGTGTGTGTGTGGGGGGAGCGGTAGTGTTGTGGTTAGCGCGCTGCGAACATCGCCACTGGGGGGACAAAGGCGGCCGGGCGTGGTGAGTCCAAGTCCCGGGCGAAGCCGGGTAATCAAGCTAGTGATAATTGTTTTTTTACCCTTTCATCTGGCAACAAAACTGACACTTTTTTTACAAGGAGTCATGTTTACATTGACCACAATACCTGTGGTCGGAACGCAAACAAAAAACAACTCTGATAATGTATGCACTGTCCTTGAAATTGATTGGTCCACACCCGAGACAGCTTTCTTTAGAGCCTCGTCTCACATGGTGTTGGACCAGAAGATGCTAAAAGGCGCACAACTCAAAAGACAATGCACCATCAGAGTATGAGAGCTCGGGGTAAGCATTTACACCATTGGAAACCTCATTTGGCAGTAACAAAATATAATTGGTTTTTTACCCTTTTATCTGGCAACAAAACTGACACCTTTTTTACAAGGAGTCATGTTTACATTGACCACAATACCTGCGGCCGGAACGCAAACAAAAACAACAACTCTGATAATGTATGTATCAATTTCAACGACGGGCAGAGATGATCTCCCAAGCAAAATGCTGAGGGAGGGTGGAGTTTGTGCACAGACTGCCCTATATGACATCATAACAACAGTCTGGACCACTGGATGGGTTCCGCAGGTTTGGAAGGATGCCCTGGTGGTCCCCCTCTTTAAGGGGGACCGCACAGACTGTAACAACTACAGGGGCATCTCACTCCTCAGTGTGCCGGGAAAGGTCCTGGCAAAGATTATTCAACATCGCCTTGCCAGGCACGCTGAGGAGAGGCTTGCGGAGCCCCAATGCGGTTTCAGGAAAGGGCGGTCCTGCACAGATGCCATATTTTCTCTCCGTCTGCTACAGCAGAGGTGTAGGGAATTCCAGCAAGACGTACATTTCTGCTTTATTGACCTGGTCAAGGCCGATGATACCATCAATAGGCCTGGGCTCTGGGTTGTTCTTCGTGCTTTTGGAGTACCTGACCCTCTGCTCACGATCATTAAGGACCTTCATGATGGTGAGCGGGCCCGGGTAAAACTACGTGGCCGGGAGTCTGAGCCTTTCCCTGTACACCTTGGGGTGCGACAGGGATGTCCTCTGGCTCCCACATTATTTAACATCTATTTCGACCACGTAGTTCGTGAAGCCTTCAATAGCTGTACCGGGGGAATCTCCATATGGTACAGATATAATGGGAGGCTGATCGATGCACGGGTGCGGTCAAGGGATGGCTCCCTATTGCTCAACCACGTTATGTATGCTGATATGGTAATAGCTGATCATTCAAAGGAGGAGTTGGAGACGCTGCTGCTGAGACTGGAGCGTGCCACTAAGAGATGGGGCCTTACCATCAGCCCCACCAAAACTAAGCACCTGCCTGGGTATTTTGTACCATCGGACACTCCACCCCCACAACTCCCAATCGGTGACGGGACAGTTGTGGAGAAAGTGGAGAGTTTCCCATACCTGGGCAGTGTGCTTATGACCGGCTCCAGTTTAACAGCAGAGGTCTCACTCCGAATCAGTCGAGCGGCAATATCTTTTCATCGGTTGCGTAACGCTGTGTGGAAGCTACCTGGTCTGTCGCTCCGCACTAAGCTTCAGGTCTTCTCGGCCACGGTCATTCCCTCCCTTCTCTACGCTTGCGAAACGTGGACCCCCCTAATGGAACATCTTCGCCGGTTAGAAACATTTAGGCTGGCCTGCCTACGATCCATCCTGGGTTTAACCAGACTGGATTGTGTGAGGAGCTCACAAATCCTTGAAAGATCTGGGCAAGGTCCCATCGGTGAGCTCCTCCGGCGGGCAAGGCTGCGATGGCTGGGTCATGTAGCCCGCATGCCCAGCCAACGCATGCCGAAACAGCTTTTGTTTGGCCGGATTGAGGGGGCTAAGCGGGCGCGGCACGGGCTAGAGAAGAGATGGAGTGATGTGGTACAGGAGGACGTGGAGCTGAGTGGACTTGCCGATGACTGGTACCAGCGGTGTCAAGATCGACCTCTGTGGAGGAGGCTCGTGAAGGATGCTACTGGGCAGTTGGAGGCAGTCGCCCTCCAACAACAACGGAGGGCGGAGGAGCGACGCTCACAACAACGAGCGGAGCGCCGGGTGGCTAAAGCACAGCAGGTTGGCACAGTAGGGGGCACAGGTGGTGCATCAGCCAGTCATCTCAGTCAGTCGACCCGTGGCACCTGGGTCTGCCCCGTGACCTCCTGCCAGCGGGCGTTCGACACTTCACGTGGCCTCAGGGTGCACATAGCCTGGCACAAGCGTCGTGGTGACGTCACCGCCACTTAGTGGCGAAAGGCGGTTGTTGTTGTGTCTATCTGTGTATCTGTATGTGTCTATCTGTGTGTGTATCTGTATGTGTGTATCTGTATGTGTGTATTTGTGTGTGTATCTGTGTGTGTGTATCTGTGTCTATCTGTGTGTGTATCTGTCTTTGTACGTGTGTGTATCTGTGTATGTATCTGTGTGTGTGGAGCGGTAGTGTAGTGGTTAGCGCTACGCCGCGCTACGAACCCGGCGACCGGAGTTCGATTCCCGCTCACGGCCACCACCGGTGACGATTATCTGAACCGGTCCTGGGTCTCCCCTGGGTCGACTCAGCCTCAAAACGAGTAGCTGCTGTGGTGTGTGAACATCGCCACTCGGGAGACAAAGGCGGCCGGGCGTGGTGAGTCCAAGTCCCTGGCGAAGCCGGGTAGTCTCAAGCTAGTACCTCAAAAATTAAACTTAAAACCGAACAAATGCTGCCCACTTCACGGAGTGATACTCATTTTACCGACCTCGCAGGCATGATGATAAAAGCAGTAATGAAGCTATAGCGACAAAATATCCGTCGCCTATTACGTATATAATCCCGCTGAAGGCAATTATTGTACGTTTTATTTATTTGTGGGTTTTGCAGCACTGGCAATGTAGTACAATACACACATTTAGTTTGTCACGGGGGTTTTATTTTGACCATACTTCACCTCGCTTGGTTATTGTGCGTGTCAATCAAGGGCTACGAAATAACGCCGATATTTAACTACGTCGGTAATATGAACGATATGCCGAAATAAACACGCAGTATAGTTTACGAATCGCAAGCATTAAGTAAAACAGTAGTAAATCACGTGATATCGTGTTCATTGTATTCGTATGTAACACTGTACGGTGCACGAACTCGAACAGAACCACGGAATAATCCTACACACGCAAGCTGGCGAACCGTAACGCAACACTTTAAATTAGAAACGCGTCGTGAAATGTAGAGGGCACGTACCTTCGTCAATGTTTATTTCATTGCTAAGACGATCATTCATCAGCGTTCATCTCTTCCCCACACGGGCACACACCACCGCATCGCGTCGGAAACGAAGCAAAGTGTCGCATTATTCATTTTTTTTTAAAAAAAAATTCACCTTCGCACAAAGGTTGCCGTTGGGTTAAACAAAACGCGGAGAATTGACGAACGCTGATTTTTGTTTCGTTATATATGGGAGAAGGAAAAAAACACCACCGCCTAGCAAGTTTTCTAAAAGGCTGTTTAATAATTAACCTGTAAAAAAACACACTCACTCACACTCTCTCGTTTTCACGAGGGAGAAGCAGAGACTTCTTTAATAGCGATCGTGCGTGGCGGGGGGAGAGTAATGAAGCCAACGACGCCATCTTGCGTAGGGGGGGGGGTAACGGCGGCCATTGGCCATCGCATGTAGGAGGCACCTACCCAAGATGGCGGCCAACATATTGTTGTTTATTTATTTATAAAGTTATCTACAACAACAAATGCCAAACTCACACCTGTCAAGCCCCGTTATCAATTACTTTAACACGTAGGCTTTATCAATTGTCCAGTTCCGTACAACAGATAATACAAAAACAAAACCCCACTATTCTTAGTTTTTTCGGTAAAGTCACGTTGAAGAGAAACAACAAAATAACAAAATATATATAAAACAATAAAAAATTCTCACGACGTTTCGACCATAACTCAAACGGTCATCATCAGGTGTGTCGGTTTGCATAAATTTATTTTGAAAACGGCATATTTATTTATATATATAAAAATAACGTTTGCGTCACGCGCAACGATGGCAGTTTGCCAGGACTAGTCCATCTATTTTTTGAAAAGAGGAGGGGGGAGACGAAATTTGTTTTTATGTATGCTGTCTGAAAGGCACTGTAAGCGTGAACAATCAATCAAGAACTGAAATGATTTATCAAATCTTTCCAATGATTGCTAAGATAGAATCCATCTTCTCGGTTGAAATTGTCTCTGTGTTTGTATATGTGGATAGCCTCATGAACGAATCTCTCATGGAAGCCAGATGGCTTACAAAGAACCTCCGTCTTGGAAAAGTCAATGGCATGTGAGCCTACTGAATTAGAACAATGATCTGCTACGGCCGAGGTGTTGGTCCTACCGTGTTTAAGGTCTGCTTTATGTTCACGAATGCGGTCCGAGATATGGCGTTTGGTTTCTCCAATGTAACTACTACCACAGAGGCAACTTAGTTTGTAGACACCAGGGTATTGTATGTCCGGAATCACATCTTTTACAGACGGAACCAGATCACGGATTTTATGTAATGTGTTGAAACGGACCTGGATCTTGTGTTTATTCAAGATTTTGGAGATCTTTTTTGTGATCCCAGCAATGTAGGGTAAAGTGATGGTTTTGAAAGGCTCCTCAAGAGGGTTCTTCTTCATGGTTTGAGTGATAGCTTTGCGGATTGTATAGTCGGAGTAACCATTAGCCCTAAGAGCTTGGTGTACGTGCTTGAGTTCACTGCTTATGTGTTCCTGGTCGGATATGCATTGGGCTCTATGATACAGAGTCTTGATGAGAGAATTCTTCTGTGATGGATGGTGGTGGGAATCCGGTTTCAGATAAGCATCCGTATGGGTAGCTTTCCTGTAGACAGAGTGGCTCATTGAACCATCAGGTCTCTTTTTAATTAGGACATCCAAAAAAGGTATCTTGCCATCTATTTCGACTTCCATGGTAAATCTGATGGCTGGGTGTATGGAATTGATGTGGTTGAAGAATTTGTCTAGAGCAGGCCGGCCATGTGGCCAGATGACAAAAGTGTCATCCACGTACCTCTTCCATAAGGTTGGGCGCAGAGTGGCAGTCTGGATGGCGTCAGTCTCAAATTTCTCCATGAAAATGTTAGCTATAACTGGAGAAAGGGGGGAGCCCATTGGGGTGCCCTCAGTTTGTTTGTAGAAAGTTCCATTCCAAGTGAAGTATGTATTGGTTAAACAGTGTCTCACCAGGGGGGGTACCTCAGTGTTTAGTCCTTGATGAACCAAGTCTTCAATGATTGCAATGGTGTCAGGTACAGGAACCTTGGTGAATAAGGAAACTACATCAAAACTGACAAGCAGGTCGTCTGGGGACAGGAAAATACCCTTGATTGTTGATACCAGGTGAGTAGAATTTTGTACCGCAGAGGTGGTCTTTCCAGTGAAAGGACGCAGGATTTCAGACAAAAAACGAGCTAGTTTGTAGGTGGGGGAGCTGATAGTAGAGACTATGGGACGAAGAGGTGTATCAACTTTATGTATTTTTGGTAAGCCGTATAATCTTGGTGGCCTGGCAGCAGAAGGTTTCAACGAAAACTGTTTAGATTGATCAATTAATGCGGTTGAATCAGAAATTATTTTGTTGGTTTGTGTGACGAGGCTGTTGGTGGGATCTCTTTTTATTTTTGTATAACTACCATCGTCGAGTAATTCTTTAATTTTGTTGTTGTATTCTATTTTATCCATGATAACAGTAGCATTGCCTTTGTCAGCTGAGAGAACTACAATATCATTCCTCTTTTTTAATTTATATAATTCAAAACGCTCATCTTTGCTGAGGTTGCTAGCTGGCATCTTAGCGTTTTTGAGGGTTGCAGCGATTTCAGATCTTGCTACGTCTGCAGCGATGTGACCCAGGCCCCTGAGAGCAACGTCTACTTGGGCAATTATATCATTAACTGGTATGTGTTTAGGTGTGACTGCAAAGTTTAGACCTTTAGCTAAAACGGATTTCAGACCATCGGAAATAGAACTGTTACTGCGATTAATTACGACTTTATTAACGTCTAACTTTTTGGTGTGTGGGTCCGGTCTTTTGTTTAAGAGGAGGTTAAATTTGGAAATCAGGTTTTCCTTACATTTGGTCGACATAGTAGCAGCTGAAGAGGCAGTCATATTGTCTACATGTTCCCAATCCGATGTGGACATTATTGCCGTCAATGATAAGTGTGATTTGTAGAGTGTCTTGTCTAACTGATCTAGTTCTGTGCGTATAAGTCTGATTTTTTCTGAGATTAGAGCTAAGCTAGTTTTGAAGAAATCGCTGCAACCCTCAAAAACGCTAAGATGCCAGCTAGCAACCTCAGCAAAGATGAGCGTTTTGAATTATATAAATTAAAAAAGAGGAATGATATTGTAGTTCTCTCAGCTGACAAAGGCAATGCTACTGTTATCATGGATAAAATAGAATACAACAACAAAATTAAAGAATTACTCGACGATGGTAGTTATACAAAAATAAAAAAAGAGATCCCACCAACAGCCTCGTCACACAAACCAACAAAATAATTTCTGATTCAACCGCATTAATTGATCAATCTAAACAGTTTTCGTTGAAACCTTCTGCTGCCAGGCCACCAAGATTATACGGCTTACCAAAAATACATAAAGTTGATACACCTCTTCGTCCCATAGTCTCTACTATCAGCTCCCCCACCTACAAACTAGCTCGTTTTTTGTCTGAAATCCTGCGTCCTTTCACTGGAAAGACCACCTCTGCGGTACAAAATTCTACTCACCTGGTATCAACAATCAAGGGTATTTTCCTGTCCCCAGACGACCTGCTTGTCAGTTTTGATGTAGTTTCCTTATTCACCAAGGTTCCTGTACCTGACACCATTGCAATCATTGAAGACTTGGTTCATCAAGGACTAAACACTGAGGTACCCCCCCTGGTGAGACACTGTTTAACCAATACATACTTCACTTGGAATGGAACTTTCTACAAACAAACTGAGGGCACCCCAATGGGCTCCCCCCTTTCTCCAGTTATAGCTAACATTTTCATGGAGAAATTTGAGACTGACGCCATCCAGACTGCCACTCTGCGCCCAACCTTATGGAAGAGGTACGTGGATGACACTTTTGTCATCTGGCCACATGGCCGGCCTGCTCTAGACAAATTCTTCAACCACATCAATTCCATACACCCAGCCATCAGATTTACCATGGAAGTCGAAATAGATGGCAAGATACCTTTTTTGGATGTCCTAATTAAAAAGAGACCTGATGGTTCAATGAGCCACTCTGTCTACAGGAAAGCTACCCATACGGATGCTTATCTGAAACCGGATTCCCACCACCATCCATCACAGAAGAATTCTCTCATCAAGACTCTGTATCATAGAGCCCAATGCATATCCGACCAGGAACACATAAGCAGTGAACTCAAGCACGTACACCAAGCTCTTAGGGCTAATGGTTACTCCGACTATACAATCCGCAAAGCTATCACTCAAACCATGAAGAAGAACCCTCTTGAGGAGCCTTTCAAAACCATCACTTTACCCTACATTGCTGGGATCACAAAAAAAGATCTCCAAAATCTTGAATAAACACAAGATCCAGGTCCGTTTCAACACATTACATAAAATCCGTGATCTGGTTCCGTCTGTAAAAGATGTGATTCCGGACATACAATACCCTGGTGTCTACAAACTAAGTTGCCTCTGTGGTAGTAGTTACATTGGAGAAACCAAACGCCATATCTCGGACCGCATTCGTGAACATAAAGCAGACCTTAAACACGGTAGGACCAACACCTCGGCCGTAGCAGATCATTGTTCTAATTCAGTAGGCTCACATGCCATTGACTTTTCCAAGACGGAGGTTCTTTGTAAGCCATCTGGCTTCCATGAGAGATTCGTTCATGAGGCTATCCACATATACAAACACAGAGACAATTTCAACCGAGAAGATGGATTCTATCTTAGCAATCATTGGAAAGATTTGATAAATCATTTCAGTTCTTGATTGATTGTTCACGCTTACAGTGCCTTTCAGACAGCATACATAAAAACAAATTTCGTCTCCCCCCTCCTCTTTTCAAAAAATAGATGGACTAGTCCTGGCAAACTGCCATCGTTGCGCGTGACGCAAACGTTATTTTTATATATATAAATAAATATGCCGTTTTCAAAATAAATTTATGCAAACCGACACACCTGATGATGACCGTTTGAGTTATGGTCGAAACGTCGTGAGAATTTTTTATTGTTTTATATATATTTTGTTATTTTGTTGTTTCTCTTCAACGTGACTTTACCGAAAAAACTAAGAATATGAATTACTGCAGTCACGAAAGCTTTAAATCAAAACCCCACTACTTAGCAAAAAAACAATTCATACATAAAAACGTTAACGCTCCACGCACAAAGAAGTCAAGATGTCTAACGAAATTCTTCATAAAACAAGAACAGAGGAGGGGAAGGGAGGGTGTGAAACAAGCGATTAAGCAGTTGTGATGTTGATTAAAGACCTCTAACCCCGTTTTGCAGGGGGAATTCCCGCATGATTCATCCCTTTGCAGACCCATGGCTTGAAGTTACCACTGTGCATATGGCACAAGCTGTGTCGATGGATGAGGGCCTCCCCACGATGTGCGGGTCATTGGAGTTAATTGACCATACTTCACCCCTCTGGTCAGTGTCTGTTATTGAAGCTGGTCAGCATATAAAGTCGAACACAACAATGGTTTTAGCCGCACTGCCCTCTGCTGACCATCCTCGCAGCAGCCTCTAACAAGCTGTACAGTATATTGTGGATTGGTCACCCATTCTAAACTAAAACTAAACTTATTTTACCAGGTAAGGCCCACTGAGCTGTATATCTCTTTTTCAGTAAGCGCCCTGGCCACAAATTATAGCTCAACGAATTGGCTTATCGTCACGTGGAAATGCATAGCAAGCCAAATACTCTAAACTCACGTTTCTAAATGTGGAGGGGAAAAGCTGGGGGAGCCCTTGTACGTTGACCAGCACTCTGGGTGCTAGTAACTTGGCACTGCAGCCAGTGCCGTGCAGTTCACATTTCAATTGCCGGGTGGTGCTGGGGACCGCCCGGGGAATGTTTGCTGATAGTGGTGGGGTGTTGCGTCAAGAGCAAACGGGGATCGCCAATGGGTGGGCCGCGAATTCGTGGCCACCTCCCACCCACACATACACACACGTGCGGCCGGTGCCCTTGTCAACAACAGCACGCGGCGTTCGCCAATGGTGGGCCACCAATTCGTGGCCACCTCCCACCCACACACACATGGGCGGTGCCTTTGTCATCAAGAGCAACAAGCGGCACTCTCCAATGGTGGGCCACGAATTCGTGGCCACCTCCCACCCACACACACATGGGCGGTGCCTTTGTCATCAAGAGCAACAGGCGGCACTCGCCAATGGTGGGCCACGAATTCGTGGCCACCTCCCACCCACACACACATGGGCGTTGCCTTTGTCATCAAGAGCAACAGGCGGCACTCGCCAATAGTGGGCCACCAATTCGTGGCCACCTCCCACCCACACACACATGGGCGTTGCCTTTGTCATCAAGAGCAACAAGCGCCACTGGCCAATGGTGGGCCACCAATTCGTGGCCACCTCCCACCCACACCACCCACACACATGGGCGGTTCCTTTGTCATCAAGTGCAACAGGCGGCACTCACCAATGGTGGGCCACCAATTCGTGGCCACCTCCCACCCACACACACATGGGCGGTGCCTTTGTCATCAAGAGCAACAGGCAGCACTCACCAATGGTGGGCCACCAATTCGTGGCCACCTCCCACCCACACCACCCACACACATGGGCGGTGCCTTTGTCATCAACGTCCGATGCTGACGTTTGGGTGAAGTGACCGCACATTTGTCACTTGGAAGACCCCCCCCCCGTCTTCATCTCTGCCATACGAAGGAGGGCCTCTTTCCTCGGTATGGTTACGGCGATTAGTCCGTGTGTGTTACCATGTTACTCGCTAACAGCACTTGCCCCGACAGTCTGTCGAGGCTATGCTGGGGGATCTTTGGCTTTGTTACCATGTTTGTTATGCTGTATGTGGAGCGGTAGTGGAGCGGTAAGTGCGCCGCGCTATAAACTCCGCGACCCGAGTTCGATCGGTCAACGCCGGTGACGATTAGTTATCTTAAACAAGGTCCTGGGGCCTCCCTAGGTCGGCTCGGCCTCAAATGAGCACCTGGTGCGGTGTACAGTAAATATCGCCACTGGGGGAGACAAAGGCGGCCGGGCGTGGTTGTTGGCCACCCACACCCTCGTGCACCGTGTCGGCCTTCATTGGTGCTGCTCGCTCACAGCACTTGCCCCAACAGTGATTACAGGGGATCTTTGTGTGGGTTTTATGTTATGCTGTGGTTGCTAGTCGAGCAACTAACACTCTCAGAGTCTGTGAACAGCAGGAACAACAAGAGGCACGATGTCATTTTATAGTTAATAACAGCCCGTTAGTTTTATTGTAACAACTATACCGGTAATGCCGGGTGGGTGGTGGGAGCCCTTTGCTGTTATGATTGTATATGTGTGTTTATTAGTACAAGTGTGTTAAGAGTTGCCATAGTTTATTATTCGAAGACTGTCCGGCACAGCATGAGATTGTGTACTTACAGGCTGAATATTACTGCACTAGTTTCGTTCGATATCACTTTTTCATTACTGTACTGTCAGAGGAATGGAATGTTCCAGAAAGCTCAATTCCACCGCGGAGACGGAGCGACCAAATCATCTCGAGTGCAGGCACTCAGGTGGATTATCAGATCGTAGCATCGTGAGATGAGGGCGACGGCTTTTGGGGGAGGTCCTTCATCCAGCAGTGGAGAGGTCAAGGCCGATTATGACTCTTAGTGGCACTACAGGCCATTTGAATGTTGTGCGTGCACAACTCCAATACGTGAACGTGTGCGATACGTTGTTGTTCACACTGACGGTCCTTTTGTCAATCCACTGCTGGACGAGGGCATCTCCCCACGTGGGTTCTTTGACCACACTTCAACTTGCTGGTCAGTGCGGGTTGGTAAAGGTATGGAGCGTATACGTGGAGCCATAGAAGGCCAGCACAACAATGTATTTGACTGCACTTCCCTCTGCTGGCAACGTAGTCCCACAGTAGGCTACAGCAACAGTTTCATGATCGGTGGTCTGCCCATCCGCAAGTATTATCCAGGCTCAAATTTGCTGAGATTCCGAGGTTCTCCAGATTTTGTAGGTGGCCCGTTTGTTGGGTGGCTTTTATTGCTTCTTTAGTCAATCGTGCCCTGGGTACAAAAAGCGGATTTATTTTGTAATTACATCGGTGTTTTTTTATTGTATTTTCCAAATTTGATGTTTGGATCTTCTGTCATCGGCAGTAATAAACTGGTCATTACACCTAAGATTTCCAAAAACACATTTCCCCCAAAAGTGTCGCATGCTTGCGTCGGATTAGCAAACACCGTGATTTCTAGACGAATAACAATATCCATGATATAAAACATATCAATCACAATCTACCTACTGCGTGATATTGCTTATCTTGGGGAAGATTACCGATTTTTTTATGACCCGAGTCAGAATAACTGTACCGATCGAATCCCCGAACCTCCCAAAGAACAGACACATACTGTATGTAAACACATACAATGAGAGGAAAAGAATGGACACTGGACTGAACAATTTCCTCCTCCGTATACATAACATGTGCCATATAAATGACGTGCTTGGGCAGGGACACACCCTATACGCCTGCCAAAGGAGCAGTCTTGGAACACGGCGATGGGGGAGAAAGAAACATTGTGTTCTTTTAATGTGGGGGAAGTACAGTAATTGACTTCGATAATTTTCCAAACAATTTTAAACTGGATTTCTCTTAATGGATTGTCTTTGGCTCAACCCAGTGAAGATGAAACGTTGATCCAATGTTGTATGGTTACGAGCTCCCTTCTAGCTCAATCTCGGGCTTTCTTCTTAATTGCCGGGCCTCAGCAATTATTTGAAAAAAAAACGACTGACCTGGGAACCCAATGACCGGTCTGCCGTCTCTCGCAGGGAGTTGCTTTCACTGTTGCCGCGCCGCCACCATGCGAGATTGGACGTCCATCCCACGAAAGAATTGGCGCGGTGGTGGCGGCGCTTGGCCACGCCTGCTGGGCGAACCGTCGCCAGCGCCTTCCCCCGGCGGCCCCATCGCCCGGGTCGCCACGCGGCCGGGCAGCGTGACGTTGAGGCGCGCCGAGGCGTGCCAATGCTTCCGGCTCATCCACGTGCATGCCGGAGGGAGGTCCTCCTACCTCAAGGACACCGTCGCCTCCGTGTCCGCCATGGTGCACAGCGTCGGCTCGGGGCTCCAGCGGCAGATTTTCAGCTCGCGTCGGGAATCGCGGCGCGCTGCGGAAACGGAGGAAGATGAGGAGGAGGAGGCGGCGGTGAGGACGGCATTGACAATGGTGGGCCGATCGCCAGCCTCCCGCGAGAATACGAACACGTCAGTGGAGGCGGCCACGGTGGTGGAGGTTGGCCGTGTCTACCATGCGAGCGTCGCTTCGTCTGGCGGAGACGTGGACCAGGCCAGGCCCGGCGCGACACCGATGAATCCTTTTCCAACGAGCGAGATGCCCAGCGGGAAACTGGACCCGGTTGAGCCTGCGGCCCCAACCAGTGGGCCTGAGGGCCGCCGAGTTGCGGCGGATGACGTATCTGTGAGCACGGGATCCGGTCTCTTCCACATTAGCTATTTCACCACAAATTTTGGCGAGACTTACCAGTACCTGGCGAGGCACGTCAACGATTACTTCTGGGGAGACGGGCGGGTCCCAGCGGGGTCCCCACCCGCAGTGCCGGTGCCAGCGACAGAGGGCCCGGTTTCCCAGCGGGTGGTGAGGTCCCACTTCAGAACCGGGGAGTTCAGCCGATACAGGTTTGTGTATGTGTGTGCGAGTGTAATGCAGTGCTTGCCCCAACAATCTATAAGGCTATACGGGGCATATTTGTCTATTTTTGTGCGTGTGTGATTTCATTGGGTGGAGCAGTAGTCTAGAGGTCAGCACACTGCACTATGAACTCTGCGATTCTGGGCCTCCTCTAGGGTGATGCAGCCTCAAATGATTACCTGATGTGATGTGTAAACATTAGCACTTGTGCCGTTCCGCACTGAATATGTGCTTGCTGACAGCACTTCAACAATCTGCTGCATGAAAATCGTTGGATCTTTGTGAATTAATGTCTATGACCAAATCACTACGAATGTGGCCAGTGTCAGATCGGATAAGTTATGGGGGAGTTTAGATTGGTCCTCGCAAACAACACTCATAAACGCATTTTTTGAGAGCTAAAAAGGCGACTTTTTTGGATTTATGAGAAGTTACATAAAATGTCTTCTGCAGCTGTTATTGGACAACATGGGGTCATGCTGCTGTGAAATTCCTCAATGGATTCTGGGTAACCTAAAAGAGACTGCGCCCAAGAGGATGACCATCATGGAGATGGAGCGACGACATAAGTGCAGCAGGGAGATGGATTGTTGTATTGCAGGACCATGATGGATGGCGAGTGTGGGGAGGCCTTCATCCTGCAGCTATTATAAAGTGGTTGACTATGAAAATGTTTATGTTTTTACATGCTTTCATTTAACACCCTGTCTGTTGTCGTTGTTGTTGTTGTAGCCTCAAATCTTGTAACTAAATTTTAACCCACTTCCCAATGTGGTATCGACTGCAAACTTGGTATACTTATGTCATACTGATGACAATACTATTTTCTATCATAAAAAATAAATAAAAACATTTTTAAACGTCATTTTTAATATGTTATGTTTCGGCTTGGGGCTAATTGTCCACGGTCAACTGACGTTGGCTGTAATTGGCCAAGTTCCCTTACGTTGTGGCAAGCTTCAGGGCCACTTTCTGGAGTCGTGAAGTTCTTCCATTACTAGTACATTTCATAAAAGCGTGTTTTAAAAAAAGTTTTTTAAAATATTACTTTTGATAATTACATACTGCATTACCACGATGTGGTTATTGCATGTTACTAAATAATATTTTGTTGTTTCCTTTTTATTTATTTTAGAAATTTAATTTCGTTCACATTTTACAGAAACCTGAGCTCAGAAAAGGGTTCCGGCGCCGTAATGGCACCGGTCGCCGCAGCAACTCCGACCTCTGACCCCAGCGTGAGTTAAAATCCAGAGCAGGCCGTCCTGCCACCTTCATCAGCATCCAGAGCACCGGAGGGGGCCAGGAAAGGCCTCACAAACCTCCTCACCTACCCCTTACAGTCTGTGGTCACCTCAGCCAGTGACCTTGCTCGCAAGGTGAAGCTTGCATAGGGCACTGGTTCATCTGATGTACTTTTTGTGGCTGAGTGTCAGTTTTGGGATCCATATCTGGTCTGTCAAGAGTTGACTGATCCCTTCGTTTCTCTACTATTGAGGAAAATTTTCTTTTCCAATCAATTCATCCTTCATATAACCGATCTCATGAGATCTCAGAAGCTAAGCAAATGAGAAACCTGTAGATTTCTTGAAATGTGGTAAAACGACCCACACAGAATGGGGAGCCCCTCTTCCAGCTGTGAATTGAGAAAGGTGGCTCTACATGTGGTGATTATGCATTGGGCATGTGACTGTAACATAGAATAATGTGTACAAAGATGGCCCATAAATAATAATTTCAGTGTATAATACGCCGCACAGTATTCGCTCATCCTCAAAGAGAGAGAACAACTCAAGAGGCTCGAGGAATCGCAGACAAAGCGGGGAGGCAGCACCAACAATTGCTCAAGCTCTGCGGTCCTCTATATATTAAAGGTGTTATCGGCCAATAAATGAATGTTCACAAATAGGAGGAAACTGGAGCACTAACAGAAAACCCACACATGTGAGGGCAACACACTCTATCCCATAAAGATGGAACCGGTGGAGACCATTTTAAATGCAGGATAACCGCCACTTGCTCGCTTGCGTTATCACTATGCCGCCGTCACACCCCCCCGAGCAAAGCAATTTCGTAGCACTTTTAAGAATTCGTAACGTTTTTGTCGGCTGATGTGACCAGAGAGCGGAGGGGACTGCGGATGTTCGCTCAGAGGTGGCGGGGAGAGGATTGCAGCTCCAGGCCGGCGCGTCGCTCACAGCTGCCTCGGCTGCCCCTTCTGCACTGGAGTCCGCCAAGCCGGCTCCTGGGACGATCGCCCCGCGTGCCACGGAGGAGAAGGGCCGCAGAATCAGCCTCCAGCGTGAGAAGGTGGGCACGGGAAACGATTTTCTTTTTCACATCTGGCATTTCCATAGCTCTCACAATTACTGAGTCAAATGTAGTTTAAGTGACGGCATGTGCATTATCGTTACAGAATGTAAAGTTGCAGTTGTTAGAGTGAACTGAAGTTATCTTCCTTCGTCCCGGAAGTACAGACAAGCACACAAACAATGCGCTAAAATTGTAAAACGATTACAAAGCAATGCGGAGCTAATGCGATAATTCTCATATTGTGACATTTTAAATCGTATCGTATCATGAAATACAATATTGCCGCAATACCCGAATGTAAACTATTCATGTTGAAGTGTGTGTCATCTTATTCTTAGTTTTTTCGGTAAAGTCACGTTGAAGAGAAACAACAAAATAACAAAATATATATAAAACAATAAAAAAATTATCACGACGTTTCGACCATAACTCAAACGGTCATCATCAGGTGTGTCGGTTTGCATAAATTTATTTTGAAAACGGCATATTTATTTATATATATAAAAATAACGTTTGCGTCACGCGCAACGATGGCAGTTTGCCAGGACTAGTCCATCTATTTTTTGAAAAGAGGAGGGGGGAGACGAAATTTGTTTTTATGTATGCTGTCTGAAAGGCACTGTAAGCGTGAACAATCAATCAAGAACTGAAATGATTTATCAAAAATGATTATTTGATAAATCATTTCAGTTCTTGATTGATTGTTCACGCTTACAGTGCCTTTCAGACAGCATACATAAAAACAAATTTCGTCTCCCCCCTCCTCTTTTCAAAAAATAGATGGACTAGTCCTGGCAAACTGCCATCGTTGCGCGTGACGCAAACGTTATTTTTATATATATAAATAAATATGCCGTTTTCAAAATAAATTTATGCAAACCGACACACCTGATGATGACCGTTTGAGTTATGGTCGAAACGTCGTGATAATTTTTTATTGTTTTATATATATTTTGTTATTTTGTTGTTTCTCTTCAACGTGACTTTACCGAAAAAACTAAGAATATGAATTACTGCAGTCACGAAAGCTTTAAATCAAAATTTGTGTGTCATCTGTTTATTGTGTTTTTTGTTAACGATATAAACAGCATATTCTGGCTGATAAAACAATCAAAGTGAGATCATGGGAAAGCAGCTGGCTTCTGTGCATGAAGAGGAGAGTTTTCAATCAGTGCACGTTGTTTGCTGAAAGCCAAACAAACAACAACAGGAGGTGGGCGGACTGGGTTAATAATCACGACACTTGGTGCCGTGAAACTTTGCCGTCACGTCCGACCTTGCGCACAATCCCGGGCATTGAAAGCCTCCATGCACGCACGCGAACCGTTTTATCGGCGGCGTTGTCTTCCACGGCAGATTGTGGCGCGGGTGAGCGTGGACAACAGGACGCGCACCCTGGTGCGTGCCTTGCGACGGCCTCTCTCCTGCGGCACGCACCTCTCCGCCGTGGGGGACCTGTGTGATCACTTGCTGCAGTTTGGAGACACGGCCAGTGTCGCCGTCAAGGTGAGGGCGGTGGTGGTGGTTGTGGTGGCTTGGGAGGCTTCGTTGGGCTCCTAAAATGAAATAGAAAAATTCATCCTCATCACCAAATTTCGCATGGAACTTCACCTGCGAGTAAATGTTATCAAAAACTAGCTTTACTACCCGGCTTCACCCGAGACTTGAATTCTTGTCTTGGATTAATACACGGCCTACGCGGAGGGTGGGGGGGGGGGATGCGTGACGTCAGCAGGCATACTGCATAACGCTGCCGTTCACTTGTGCAATATATTATATCCATTATTCCCCCCCCCCCCAAAATACAAAAGTCATTTTTTATACTTTTTGCATTGTATACAGTCTGGAAGCTACCCACATACCTAATTTCAAGTTTGTTGAATGTTGGGAAGTATGCTAAACATTTCGAACAGACACACATTCACAAATTTCCCTTTTATATATATAGATATCAGGTTCATTTGGTATCTGTGCCATTCCCATGGTGCAAAGATATACGCGAATGCGTATAGACTGCCAGTAGAGGACAAAGTTTATGTGTTGTTTTAACCAATCCGTATACATTTTTTTCATTTAGAAAATTTGAACCGTGACACTGGCACACAATGGGCCACTCTTTTGAAAGATGTCACGGGTTCTACAAAGTTCACTTAAAAGCGGACGGCTCGTGTAAATTGGTTAATTTGCCTACAGTATTGCGATCCTCTGCAGCAAGCGGCAAAAAAGATACCATCTCCCACCCCCAGTACTCTAATCCCTTCATTTTCTCCTAATTCAATCACAGATGTATTTGAAGAAGCCACTCATCTCATTATTCTCCCCTCCGTGCAATCTCCTACCTCTCCCTTGTCATCTCATTTTCATCATCTCAATCTACTGTAAAGAGTCGCATTTTAGACTCAAATTAAAATCGCATCGTAAGGTTCAATAACTAAGGTAAAGGCTCAGCCCTGCAATTACTTGTCAACGCCACTGCTGTCGGAAATGCCTCTAATGGAGAGAGCTCTGGCGAGCCCCTCATGGAGGATATTTTGTCGACTCTTCCACGCTGGCTGGAAGAGGTGGGATTCCCCACAATTTGTGATACAATTGGTGGAATACTGCCCCCGAAAATGAAAGCGTGTAGCTCACGGTGCACGTGCTGCTGCACGGCAGGAGGGAGCCGTGCAGTCCCTGCTGCGCCTGCTGCAGCCTGCGGAGCCCCCGCTGCAGGCATGTGTGCGCGAGGCGCTGACGCTGCTAGGCTACACGGAGCCCGTGCGCGGTCACGGCATCCGCATCCTCTCCATCGACGGCGGCGGCACCAGGTAACACTCAGGCACCAGGTAACGCTCAGACACCAGGTAACACTCAGACACCAGGTAACACTCAGGCACCAGGTAACGCTCAGACACCAGGTAATGCTCGGACACCAGGTAACACTCAGACACCAGGTAACGCTCAGACACCAGGTAACGCTCAGACACCAGGTAACGCTCAGACACCAGGTAACACTCGGACACCTGGTAACACTCAGGCACCAGGTAACGCTCGGACACCAGGTAACACTCAGACACCAGGTAACGCTCAGACACCAGGTAACACTCAGACACCAGGTAACACTCAGACACCAGGTAACGCTCGGACACCAGGTAACACTCAGACACCAGGTAACGCTCAGACACCAGGTAACGCTCAGACACCAGGTAACACTCAGACACCAGGTAACACTCAGGCACCAGGTAACACTCAGACACCAGGTAACACTCAGCCACCAGGTAACACTCAGACACCTGATAACACTCATGCACCAGGTAACGCTCGGACACCAGGTAACACTCAGACACCAGGTAACGCTCAGACACCAGGTAACACTCGGACACCAGGTAACGCTCAGACACCAGGTAACGCTCAGACACCAGGTAACGCTCAGACACCAGGTAACACTCAGACACCAGGTCACGCTCGGCACCAGGTAACACTCAGACACCAGGTAACACTCAGACACCAGGTAACACTCAGGCACCAGGTAACACTCAGACACCAGGTAACACTCAGACACCAGGTAACACTCAGGCACCAGGTAACACTGAGACACCAGGTAACACTCAGGCACCAGGTCACGCTCGGACACCAGGTAACACTCAGGCACCAGGTAACACTCAGACACCAGGTAACGCTCAGACACCAGGTAACACTCAGACACCAGGTAACACTCAGGCACCAGGTAACACTCAGACACCAGGTAACACTCAGGCACCAGGTAACACTCAGACACCAGGTAACACTCAGACACCAGGTAACACTCAGACACCAGGTAACACTCAGACACCAGGTAACACTCAGACACCAGGTAACACTCAGACACCAGGTAACACTCAGGCACCAGGTAACACTCAGACACCAGGTAACACTCAGACACCAGGTAACACTCAGGCACCAGGTAACACTCAGACACCAGGTAACACTCAGACACCAGGTAACGCTCAGACACCAGGTAACGCTCAGACACCAGGTAACGCTCAGACACCAGGTAACGCTCAGACACCAGGTAACGCTCAGACACCAGGTAACACTCAGACACCAGGTAACACTCACACACCAGGTGACACTCAGACACCAGGTAACACTCAGACACCAGGTAACACTGAGACACCAGGTAACACTGAGACACCAGGTAACACTCAGACACCAGGTAACACTGAGACACCAGGTAACACTGAGACACCAGGTAACACTCAGACACCAGGTAACACTCAGACACCAGGTAACACTGAGACACCAGGTAACACTCAGACACCAGGTAACACTCAGACACCAGGTAACGCTCAGACACCAGGTAACACTCAGACACCAGGTAACACTCAGACACCAGGTAACACTCAGACACCAGGTAACACTCAGACACCAGGTAACACTCAGACACCAGGTAACACTGAGACACCAGGTAACACTCAGACACCAGGTAACACTCAGACACCAGGTAACACTGAGACACCAGGTAACACTGAGACACCAGGTAACACTGAGACACCAGGTAACACTGAGACACCAGGTAACACTGAGACACCAGGTAACGCTCAGACACCAGGTAACGCTCAGACACCAGGTAACGCTCAGACACCAGGTAACACTCAGACACCAGGTAACACTCAGGCACCAGGTAACACTCAGACACCAGGTAACACTCAGACACCAGGTAACACTGAGACACCAGGTAACACTCAGACACCAGGTAACACTCAGACACCAGGTAACACTCAGACACCAGGTAACGCTCAGACACCAGGTAACGCTCAGACACCAGGTAACGCTCAGACACCAGGTAACGCTGAGACACCAGGTAACACTCAGACACCAGGTAACACTCAGACACCAGGTAACACTCAGACACCAGGTAACACTCAGGCACCAGGTAACACTCAGACACCAGGTAACACTCAGGCACCAGGTAACACTCAGACACCAGGTAACGCTCGGACACCAGGTAACACTCAGACACCAGGTAACGCTCAGACACCAGGTAACGCTCAGACACCAGGTAACACTCAGACACCAGGTAACACTCAGGCACCAGGTAACACTCAGACACCAGGTAACACTCAGGCACCAGGTAACACTCAGACACCAGGTAAGACTCAGACACCAGGTAACACTCAGACACCAGGTAACACTCAGACACCAGGTAACACTCAGACACAAGGTAACACTCAGACACCAGGTAACACTCAGACACCAGGTAACGCTCAGACACCAGGTAACACTCAGACACCAGGTAACACTCAGACACCAGGTAACACTCAGACACCAGGTAACACTCAGACACCAGGTGACACTCAGACACCAGGTAACACTCAGACACCAGGTAACACTGAGACACCAGGTAACACTGAAACACCAGGTAACACTCAGACACCAGGTAACACTGAGACACCAGGTAACACTGAGACACCAGGTAACACTCAGACACCAGGTAACACTCAGACACCAGGTAACACTGAGACACCAGGTAACACTCAGACACCAGGTAACGCTCAGACACCAGGTAACACTCAGACACCAGGTAACACTCAGACACCAGGTAACACTCAGACACCAGGTAACACTCAGACACCAGGTAACACTCAGGCACCAGGTAACACTGAGACACCAGGTAACACTCAGACACCAGGTAACACTGAGACACCAGGTAACACTGAGACACCAGGTAACACTGAGACACCAGGTAACACTGAGACACCAGGTAACACTGAGACACCAGGTAACACTCAGACACCAGGTAACACTGAGACACCAGGTAACGCTCAGACACCAGGTAACGCTCAGACACCAGGTAACGCTCAGACACCAGGTAACGCTCAGACACCAGGTAACACTCAGGCACCAGGTAACACTCAGACACCAGGTAACACTCAGACACCAGGTAACACTCAGACACCAGGTAACACTCAGACACCAGGTAACACTCAGACACCAGGTAACACTCAGACACCAGGTAACGCTCAGACACCAGGTAACACTCAGGCACCAGGTAACACTCAGACACCAGGTAACACTCAGCCACCAGGTAACACTCAGACACCAGGTAACACTCAGACACCAGGTAACACTCAGGCACCAGGTAACACTCAGACACCAGGTAACACTCAGCCACCAGGTAACACTCAGACACCAGGTAACACTCAGACACCAGGTAACACTCAGACACCAGGTAACACTCAGACACCAGGTAACACTCAGACACCAGGTAACACTCAGACACCAGGTAACGCTCAGACACCAGGTAACGCTCAGACACCAGGTAACACTCAGACACCAGGTAACGCTCAGACACCAGGTAACGCTCAGACACCAGGTAACGCTCAGACACCAGGTAACGCTCAGACACCAGGTAACACTCAGCACCAGGTTACGCTCGGCGACTTCTCTGGGGCCTGTGGCCCGCAGACTGCTCCCCAAGGGTTGCCGTTACAAAAATAATTTTGCTCACATTAGGGATGAAGGTAATCAACAAGGTGGTTGGCAGATTAAGAGCCAGAGAGGATCACAGCCGATTAGAAGAAAGCTTTTTTTTTTAAAAGATAGGTTTCTATCAACACTGTCCAAGAGCGTGATCTCCAACAGGAGGGAGTTCCAAAACCGTAGGGGGTGGAGGGGGTTTCCAGTAGGGAGTTCCACAAATGGCGGGCCACCACAGTAAATGCCCGATCACCCCAAGAACGCAACCGAGATTGAGGTATGCATGAAAGGGCACAATTGGCAGATCTTAAAGACCTTCAAGGGGCATTGCATTAGCTCCTGCATATAAAGTGGAGGTGGAGTTAGACATTGTGAGGCTGTGATAACATTTTCATCGTTGTTATTATTATTTTTAAAGGGGAACTTCTCATGCAACGATTCTTCAGATTCATCATCAACCACGGTCAATTCCCTGCTGGATGAAGCTCCCCTAAGCCATTGCCACCTTTCATACAAGTATATAGTCACTGGAGCTCTGCACTTTTAATTGAAAAATACTTTCTTTGAACAAATTTGTGTGTTTAGTGTGTTCTTCTTCTTCCCCCGCACCTCCAAATAGCACGGTTAGCTATGCACGGTGCGAAAGAAGTTCAACATACATGCACACTGTGGTGTAATAATCCACTGAGCATCTGCATACGAGCTGATTTTATTGTTCCATCTCTCCGGTGGACGTACTATGTACGCGTTTTATTCCTTGGCTGCCACTTAATTTACAATACGGTACAATGTACAACTTTTCTACATGACATTTATCGCGATATCCCTTTCTCTTTACTTCATTCACGACCTTCATTTGTGTTCGCCACTTTGTAAAGGAGCGTCAGCACCGAAGTTTGACAAAATCTGGACTGACGTGTTCAGTTAAATCTGTGCATAATGAGAAGAGCCCACAATAACAGAGCAAATAGTGCAGCCCGGAGAACCATGCATTCCAAAAAATGCGCAGAAACGTGTAAAAACTCTCATCTTTTATGCATTATGCAGAAACCAGCAGCAGTTCTTTTAAGTGCATTTTGGGTCTCCATCTGCCTGTCGGTCGGTCGTATTGAAATGTATTTTAATGGTGACCTAAGACTAAAGGACCACAATGCACTTCTTCAGTGACTGCCGATGTCTTTTTGCATGATGTCATAGAGGCTTAGTGAAACGAACGTGTTCGTAAGGTAAACAAGCAGTGCTCGCATCTTTAAACAAAGGCCACACACGAGCTTCTAAATCTGAAAGTGTCCAGTTGCAACCTGATCGTTCGGGTGCCCTTGTCATGTAAAGCATGCTTTACGTGAGTGGTGACGTGAATCGATCAGTCAACCCGGTCTGGACAGGGACATGTTTTAAATTTTCTGCCTCCATGAGAATGAGGCTTTCCAGAAACGGCGTGGGCCGCAGAACTGTAAACAACCTGTTTGCCGCGATAAAACCTTTGCGCTCGCTCGGAACAACTTTGACCCGACCTCGCTGTTGTGTGTTGACGTTGCCCGTGCCAGGGGCCTGGTCGCCTTGGAAACCCTGCAGGCACTCACCAGGTTGACTGGGAAACGAGTCCACGAAATGTTTGACTACGTCTGCGGGGTCAGCACAGGTCGGTAGACGCCCCCCCCTCGCAAGCGGGTGTACATTCGTGCATACAGTTAAGTCTCAATGATTATTATCCACGGGCGGATTATTAACGTGGGTTGCGGATTTACCGTGCCTGTGTAAATATCAATGTTTTCGTCCAGTGTGAAGCACATAGTATTATCATGGTTATTAGACCGCGCAGTATTACCTCTGCAACAAGCGGCCAACGTGCTACCGCTAGACCATGTCACCTCACCCCACCATGCCCTGCCCTAGCTTTGTGTTCAGATCGACCCGGCCATTGGTGGCACGCTGTGTGCAGGCTGCATGTGCCATAAATACTTTGTTTTCCTAGAATGCAGTGCTGCTGCTGTTGAAAATAGCTCATTAATCATGACCACCAGTTCTATCAGTGGCAACAGCGTTCACACGCGGTGCAGGGGTGTTGTTGTAGCATGCCTCATACTCACTAAAGGTGACCTGCCAGAGGATAAACAAAGCAGGCAAAACAAAGTGGTATATAAAAAGTGGCTGTGTAACAAATAAACATGATATAAACTGACCAGAGAGTTTCATAACACCTTAAGCTGTGTGCTATAGTTCAGTGTTCAGTAGTGACCAAGACAATACAGATGCTCGATAAATGTATTAAATACTGACGAATGTCATGTATATTTTTGCTAAACAAGTATAACAATACGTGAGTGTGTGTGTATGTGTGTCAATCAAGACAAAAGACAAAATCCCCCGTATAGCCTTTAACAGGCTGTTGGGGCAAGTGCTGACGCGACACATGAAGGGGTGGTTAGTCAACACTATGCCCGGCCGCATTTGTCTCCCCACTGGCAATATTTACACACCGTGGTTCTCGTTTGAGGCTGAGTCGACCTAGGGGAGGTCCAGGACCGGTTCAGATAATCGTCACTGGTATTGGCAGTGAGTGGGAATTGAGCTCTGGTCGCCGGGTTCAATATATGGGGAATAGTAGTTCAGTGGCTCGTGTGCTGTGCTAAATTCCTAGATTCGTGGGTTCAATTCCAGGTCAGCTATATATTATGCCAGTACCTAACGTGGTGTGTAAACATCAGCGCTGGGTACACAGTGGTCCCTGGGCATGGTGCTCACTGTACCACCTGCTCTTGTCCAGTTTTGGTCTCAGTAGTGGTGCAAATGGGTGCTACAATGCATTTTCATCATCTACATATGCTAGGCATAATGGCATTGGATGTAAATTTTAATTTTGTAGAATAGTATATAAGTGGTCAATGATTGAAAAGGCTACAAAAAAGACTTGTGGTTGGTTGGTCTCTGAATTTACTTATTTAGTTCTGTATGAATATCGTGCACAGTTTGCCGCTTGTTTCAGAGGTCCACTGTGCAAATCCAGCGGCCACCCTGATTATTACCGCGGGTACAATGCTAGGCACCGTCTGCTTCAGAGTGGACGTTAAAGATCCCCTGACACCATTCGCAAGAGTAGGCTATTGTGCGCCGGCATCAGGGTCCAAATTTACCAAATTCTAAAATTACCTGCAGATTACTCGATTAGGATTATGCACAGCAGTATATACTATGTGAAATGTATAAGCATTAATCGCCCCGTTACTGTCAGACCAATGCCCCAGGTCACTCTTGAATATGAAACTATCCTGGTGAGTTCTCACCTGGTTAGACATTATGAACTTGATTTATATATGCATATACTGAATGTGTACTGCATATGATAGGGGCGGATGGGTCTGTAGTAGCTTCCCTGGCCTGCACCGATAGTCCGTTTTTATTATGTGATTGGGTTTTTATTGGTGTGTCAGTGTTTTCTTTTTATTAATACAAGTTTTGTTTACCTCTTATGTACAGCTCTTTGAGATGACCAATTTTAAAGGCTATTTATTAAAACTAACTATATATTATTGGACAACTTTGTTACAAAGACTATGTAGGTTATATTTTGCTTGGGTTTTCACTGATTTGTCAGGAGTTTTATTTTAAAGCTTTTTTTAGTTTTACCTCTGATGTACGGCGCTTTTGAGATTACAAATATGAAAGGTGCTTTTAATATATCTCTTGGAAAAAAAAACTGAGTTCATCAGTATTATATCACTTTGTTACAAAGACTACGTCGTCAATGGAAACGACCTCTGTCCGTCCGTGGAGCCCTACCGACATCGTGTGTCCCGGCAGGCGGCGTGCTGGCGGTGATGCTGGGCGTGTTCCGGATTCCTCTGCCCGAGTGCTACGAGCTGTACCGCCGTCTCGGCACGGACATCTTCACGCGGAACGTGCTGCTCGGCACCGTCAAGATGGGCTGGAACCACGCCTTCTACGACAGCCACGACTGGGAGAGGCTACTGAGGTGGAGCTGCGTGTCACACAAGTCTGACGCCGTTATTGTCATAGTACTTACTGTTGTTGTTATTCCAGCTCAGAGAAAATTGAAAATAGCTGTTTGGCTGTCCTACCACTGCAGATGTTACTATTGGTGGCATCCTGAGTGAGAAAAGTGTGGACCAGAGGTCACTGAAAGGGATCTCAGAGGTAGCTCTGTGATATCCGCTTCAATGGGCCGTTCTCTAATATGCAGGGTTGCACACTGCTCTGGGAGAAATCCGCACGGATTCTTCATCATGACATAACAGATATCATTAACCAGGAAAACACAGAAAAAAATATTTAAGCTTAAGCGGTATCACCAGGGTACTGTATCACTGCCTTTTATCCGTACTTAATTTATTGTTTGAATAATCAAGGTTTAAACTCATTACACACAGCCTGGGTCCACAACTGTTTGCTTTGTTGGGTTGCATTCACCATGGCGGTGCACAATCGCTGGATCATAAGCCGAGACATTAATCCCACTGAACGATCCTGCAGGGAGAAGATGGGTGACAGCCTGATGATCGAGGTGTCCCGGGATCCCATGTGCCCCAAGGTGTGTGCACATCCATTCCGCCCGTGAGTCGCACCCACTAATAAGCCGCTTGTGTCGAGCATGGACGCTGCGACCGTTGTACAACTGGCCGAGCTGACTGTAGATCTGTGGGTCAGCACGGGCGGTGGGGCGAGGGGGAGGGGTGGCAGTATAAGGGATGGGGTGGGGAGGGGGTTGTATTGAGTTGACGTCACCCACCATGCACTTTACAATCACGTTACTTATACATGTACAACCCGTTTGTCAATCTACAGCTGGATGATGGCCTCGTGGGGATTATTTCGCCATACATGTGCATACTTTATTCTTTGGGTCTTTCGGTAAAGCCACGTAGATAGAACAAATAATAAAAATAATAACATTATTCAAAATAATTATTATTTGTTATATCTACGTGGCTTTATCGAAAGACCCAAAGAATATGAATTCCTGCAGTCACGAAAGCTTTAAGTCAAGATTTGACCATACTGGTCGGTGCGGGTTGGTGAAACCACTACACACAGCATAAAAACGAAATAAACTAAAGTATAAGACAACACCCATGGATTCTGGCACGTGCGATTAAATGAGATGTACCGTGATGAATCGATGCATCTTTGCACCGCTCTCATTCTTGCGCGCACGCATGCGGCCAGGTGTCGGTGGTGAGCACGCTGGTGAACCGCGGCACACCGCTAAAGGCGTTCGTATTCCGGAGCTACAACCTGGCCCCGGGCTCCCGCTCGCACTACATGGGCAGCTGCCGCCACCGCCTGTGGGAGGCGCTGAGAGCGTCGTCCGCGGCACCGGGATACTTCCAGGAGTTTCAGCTCGGGGAGGACCTGCACCAGGTAGCCAACGTTTAATCAAAGACGCGACAAACAGGAGACGATTTTTATTATATATGAATAAGTATGTATGGAGAAGGCTCGTGAAGGATGCTCCTGGTCAGTTGGAGGCAGTCGCCCTCCAACAACAACGAAGGGCAGAGGAGCGACGCTCATAATAATGAGCGTAGCGCCGGGCGGATAAGATGCAGCACGTTGGCACAATGGGAGTCACAGCTGCATCTGCCAGTCAACTCGGTCAACCCATGGCACCTGTCAGCGAGCCTTCAACACTTCATGTGGCCTCAAACTGCACCTGGCCTGGCACATGCGCCCTGGTGACATCACCGCCAGTTAGTCGCGAATGGAGGGTGTTCTTGTATATATGTTGAACTTCTTTCGCACCGTACATAGCCAACCATGCTAATCAGAGGCGCGATATTATAAAAAATAACAATAGTGCGCAGCAGTGACATACGGCGGTTTACTTTTTCTGCTGTAAACAGAAAACTACTGGTGCCATCTCACAGTTCTTAGAAACTCGTTGGGCTATGAAAATGGCCCACCTGAGTTCAATTCCACGGCCATGGCTCACATCATTGGCGAGGGATATCTGAACTGGTAGTGGGCTACTCCCTTCACCCTGCATGAACCAGCGTGTTGAAGTATGGTCAAACAATAACAACAGTCGGATTGACACTGAGAGATGGAGAACAGGTACTTGAAAACCTGGTTTAATCACGGGTGGATAAAATCTGGATTTGAATCCACGATTTATCCGGTGGCAGTTCGACATTCTTGACATGGCAATAGCCCCCTAATTGAGCTACTTAGGGGTATCCTCTTTCCATGTATTAGCTAGATTAATCCAGTGGCATATCTGACCATGGAGTGTGTAGGCGGTACAACTGCACCAGGGCCCAGGGGCTGGAAGGGCCCAGTCACCAGGCTTGGAAGAGGGAGGAAATTGGACAGGGGGAGGGGCCCATTTTATTATTTGCACCATTCCTCATTGCACCCATACTGCACCAGTGAATCGAGAGGTGTTGCTCGCTGTCCTGTCCTGTATTAATCATCCAAAATAAATGTTTTAGTTAGATCGCATAAATATAAATGTGTCGTTTACCCGCCACCACCCGACACAGCAAATTAGTAAGGATTGTTACGTCCACAAAATGTGCCAATTCGTTACTACTTCAGCTAGAAAGGCAAATCGCCTGATGAAGCTGGTGGTAATCACCAGCGAAATATCATACTTGAATTGTAAGTATTGTGGGTTTACTCTCCAACACACCAGTGTGCTGCAGCCGTAACTATTTGGTACGTTTTGTTAATTTGACAAACATGACTAATTGACTGCGTCGGGTGGTGGCTGGTTATATTTACGCGATCTAACCCAAAAAAATATTTTATGGATAATATTGGTCTCAAAAGCCTAATCCTTCCTCTTTGTTAAACTGTATTAGTTATTTTGTCTGTCCTCGCTGCTTGATTAGGATGGGGGGATCCTACTTAACAACCCTTCGGCGCTGGCGATGCACGAGGCCCAGCTGCTGTGGCCCGGCTCCCACCTGCAGTGCCTCGTCTCGCTGGGCACGGGACGGCACGAGCCGTCAGGCCATGTGCCTCCGCTCACGCACACCAGCCTGCGCACCAAGCTCATGCACATCATCAGCAGCGCCACCGACACGGAAGGTGGGCCCGTGCGGTTTTTGGATGTTCCTGCCTGGTATATATGCCGTTTCAAGGGGGATTCTTTAATCCACTATGCAGAGTTTAGAGCATTATTTGTGCATGCTATTATCAGAAGCACCATCTGGAACGCTCTTCCTTCCAATGTTAGGAAACCAATGGAGCTATGCTCTTTTAATTCTAAATTTAAAACTAATTTATTTAGAACTGCTTTTGGCATTTAGTTTGATGTCCTCTCACACCTCCGATTACCGTGGTTGGCTGCTACGGTGCAAAATAAATTCAACATACAGTAAACCCTTGTTAATTTGATACATATGAGGTTCTGGCCTTGCCGAATTGTCCAATACTCCAAATAATGTATTCCCCCAGTGCCTCCTGCTCCCAATTTTTTTTTTTTACAAACTAGTTTTCCCAACTCTTCACACACCATAGGCATTGACACACCTGCATGACCAAGGGAGTCCCTTTGTATTACTTGTTCATGTAGGTGTAGACGAAATTTCTGAAAGGGTTGGCTTGCACAGAGTACATTAACAAGGTAAAGTCCAAAGCAACAGGTCTGCACTCACGCTCACCACGTGCACCGCCACTCGACTGAGTCGTTGTTTTGGTCGTGGTGCACGGCGTCGCTACTACGCGCATGCCGAAATTGGACCATTCGGTACGGCAATTCGACTCATGGCGAATTACTAACATACTGTATCTATTCCAAAAGCACAGCCGTACCGAATTATCCCAAATTAAGAATGATCAAATACCGAAATAACGAGGTTTTACAGTACACACATACATGGGAAGCACGCGTATAGTCTGCTTTATTTTGTTACTCACTGCAACTGACCCTGTTGTAACTATTGCCCTCTCAAGAGGTGCACACCATACTGGACGGGCTGCTTCCCGCCGGCACCTACTTCCGCTTCAACCCCTTCATCTCAGCGGATGTTCAGCTGGATGAGAGCCGGACGGAACGCCTGGAGCTACTCCGCACGGACGCCCAGCAGTACCTGCAGCGCAACGGCCCCAAGCTGCAACGCGCCACCCGCCAACTGGAGCGATCTCGATCATCGACGCAGCGCGTGGTTGACGCCGCCAGGCTGCAGATGAAAATGTCAGGCGTGGATTGGCCCTCCTTCAATCTGTAGCAAGCGAGGTGTCACCATTGCTGAGTTGGTTCAGCCAGTGAGCTTATTTACCAGGTCACCGTGCGTGAGAGACCTGATCCTGTCGGATCTCAGAAGCTAAGCTGCGTCGATTAGTTGGTTCGTCTTTGCATTGTAGACCTGGGCTTTAAAGTGGCCAAGAGACATCGGTACGGAAATGGATTATTGGTTATTCAATCTATCTGTGCATAGCTTCGAGTGTTTACCCCCCACTCTGTACACGTGGGTTTTCTGCGAGTAACTCCTCTTCACCCAAACGTCACCCATTCGTCAAGCAAATTTGCAAAATATCCCAACGTAGGGCGCTCCTAAAAAAGAGTCAACTCAGTGAGGATTACTTGATGAAGGGCGTTACAGTATTATTCTTCGTTCATGTATGCTGGTGATTGGTGCTCAACCTGGCTAAAACAATAATAATTTAAATGTATAAAGCGCCCTGAAACAATCGTTCTCAGGGCGCACCCAGGAAACTATTATATCCCTTACCGAGGCAGTTGATGCGAGGGTGGGATGCTCGCATCTGTGTCTTCACAACTCGGGAGAGTGAGACGTGCACAATCATGGAGAGATCATATATGATCGTATTTAATAAGATAAAAATGCACAAAGTGTTCTTATATATTTAATTGCACCTAGAATTGTTTGGGTGCAATTGGCTTGGTTACCTAAATCAGTCTTGAGTGAATATATTCCATTTATTTACAGTTGAAATTAACACGATTTAAAGGTTAATATTCACTGAAGTGTTTTTATTCAATGGCTACTGGACTTAAGTGTGTTTTGCATAAGGCTTTACAACATGGCATAGACAATTTCAGCATGAACGCTTACATCACTCTTTAAATATTTGAAAACAACAGTAAACATTCCTGTTGAACCATCAAATCTGTGCATGCCACTTTGCATAGCCATGTGCGAACACAGTATTATTGTTTAAGATTTTGTTTTGGAGAAAACACAATTGAATATACTTAAATATGTTTCATGTTGTTTAACCTATTGGGAACCTTTTGAGGTGAATTATCGCCTATTTATCTAATTTACTCAGACAGGTAATACCTCTTATATGGGTATTTTACAGTTGCTTTGATGCCAGACAATATTCATCAATCGCAGGGAGCACCCAACTTTAAAGTGAGTATCCAGGCATTGTTTGCAAATATTATTGCTGTTTAAACCCTGATAGCCAAAACCTAACTCTATAACATCAATAATAAGGAAGCTAATGTTAGGGATTAAGAGAGTTTGGAGATTATGGTTGGCTTAGGACCAGCCTGTGTTTATATGCAACTTTATACATAGGATATGATGAATAGTATATGAAAAGATTACAGTGCGTTTGGAATGTTTTTGCTATGCGCATACATAACTCCATTCACTGCTTATGCAGATGAGCGAATGCTGGGTTTTTTTTCATTCTTTTAATCGCACTACTCTCACAAGGGATTTGCCACTGCTGATTGTTGGGAGTCTCAGTATAGAGCTCTAATTTTTGGTAGGTTTCATCGATTATATTTTATGACTGGCCACGTAATAGCATTTGCTGGTGCTGGCAGGCCACGTTGCACCAGATGTCACGTATACAAACGTTATGATGTCACTTCGCATCATGACATCGTTGTTAGTACACGTACCCACTGTCGCATACCTTTTTGTCTCCAAGACCGTCATCTCTTATTTAGCCTACTTTCATCTAACTAATTTGTTGTAATATTTTTTTACCCTTTTTTCTGGCAACAGAACTGACACCTTTTTACAGTCAGTTTTGTTGCCAGAAAAAAGGTTAAAAACCCTATTATATTTTGCTACTGGCAAAGGAGGCCTCAAGATATAATTTGTTGCATCTTTGTCTCAGCGGGCCATACCTCTTGGCGGGCCATAGCTCTGCGGGCCACTCCCAAGAGCCTTTGTGGCCAAGCCCTGCTCCAGCTCCTCGCGGATGAAGAAGCCAATAGAGCTATTGTATGCGGTGCTACCATAACAGTGATGTATCGCTAAGGAGAGTGAACTTGACTGGACCAAAGTGACATGGTGGTGCAGGGCCCACCCCGGGACCCCCAAATCGCTGGGTCTGTTTGTGGCCCACGTGTGTTCTGAAGGCCACCTGCTGTAGACCATTTATGCAGCAAATTAAAATGTACATAACAAATGCACATGTCCATCCGCACAGTAAAAAAATGCAGTATTGCCATAATGACGTTGTAATTTGTAGTGGTCTTTAATTGCTTTATTAAGGAGGTGTATTTCACAGTTCATTTGTATAAATGTAGAGGCGAGTTATGTGGCACTTACGTTACCGTTAGGCTTCTTTGTATGTGTAATGGTGTTACTTGAGTTTCACCTTGACTTAATAATGGGATATTTCACCTACGGTGTGTGTTTGATGGTGATGGAATTCAAATAAAGATTAATATAAAAATGTGAATGCTCTTTGCACATGCAACTTTGATACATGTGAATATTTCCTTTCATAGGTACATGTTTACACAAAAAAACTATAAATTAGTACACAGTAGTCTGTTATAGGATAATTTGTAGTATATGGGTTATTGATGAGCTCACTTGACAGAAATAAGCCCGTTCTTGGCATTTAAAAAATATCAGATTTGAAAGTAGCATGTCAGAGCGGCCGTCATTTTGCAAGGGGCCTGAGTAGTCTGTTACAAATATGAATCGACTGATTTATTCTTAATCCACGAATCGTTCCGGCTTTTAACAAAACCGATAGCAGCTTCTCAAGTTATAAGACATGTTTCCCCCTTTATTTTAAAGCAAAAATGCGCAGGTGAGTTATAAACCCACTTTCTGGAAAATGGCTAAAAAGTAAAAACGGACAGTCCCAATTTACCAAAGAAGCTGTCCAGTTACAGAAGGGATAGTCCAATGACCTTTTATTTACTTTTCAAATTTGGTATTTACAACATCTTGTCCGATACGTGTGTGTGTGACCAGATTTGCATCGCATTGTGCATTTTAATTTTCGTATCGCCTTATACTAATGGTGAAAAATGTTTCATTAGAGTAATTCCAAATTGTGTGTTTCTGATACCCACCGTCTTAAATGCTCCACAACGACACTAACGATTCTATCTAACAGAGAGGCAGGGGCAAGTGGCATTTCAGAATATGGTTCAAGCAAGATTGACAAATGAGCAGTAAGTTAAATATACTGTTGATGAGACACTAAATGTCGAAGGCGGTCGAGCGTTTGCTTGTGTTGAACCAATGCTGCTGAAATAATGCACTCCCAGGAGGGCGCGTGACTGATGGGATGTGTAGAAATGAGTAATATTTTTTTTTTTAAACTTTTTTTTTAAAACACGCTTTAATTAAATGTACCGTACTAGCAATTGAAGAACTCCACGACTCCAGGAAGTGGCCCCGAAGCTTGCCACAACGTAAGGGGACCGTGCTCATTTACAGCCAACGTCAATTTACCGTGGACAATTAGAGCCAAGCCGAAACGTCTTCTCCATATCTCCATATATAAGGCAAAAAAGTTGTGATTGTGTATGGAGATATTGCAAAGTATAATTTGCCCACTCGATCCCCCCCTATCCAGCACTAGAGGGCCCTGCTGGGTAGCTCTTATGTGTGAACGCACCTGTGTAAGTACCGTGACTTGTGCAGTTTCGTAACACGACTGTGCAATTTGCTGCGATAAAGAGGAATACAAAAAATAAGTTATTTTAAACATTCACCAACCCTCTGTATGATTCGGACCAGATGCGTGCCGAGGAACGCTGCGCGATCCAATGCAACATTTTGCAGCGTGTTTACATTGATCTTTAAACGCACGCTTCCTTGCGTTAACAGACTGCATTGAAGCTTGCGTTTCGTGGATATATATTTTTTTCATACGTTATAGGGTTGTGTTTAATTTCACGTAAGCGTAAAATGCGATTTTAAGTAACCACACACGCCTCATTTACAGGAATGTAGTTTGTTCGCGGCCTGCGTGGGTATGAAGCACCGGGCTCGCCTAGATGACTCTGCCGGGATCGAGCGCCTCTTCCTGGGCCACTGAGGTGAGTGATCGTGGGCGCTTTTCGGTCCGGTGTAACATCACAGTGGCGCCTCTACGACTACTGTTCTTATTAATGCGTTAAATGCACATCCGTGACGGGCCGCTTCATTGCAATTTCCTTTGTTTTTTTTTATTGTGTGTGCGTGCGAGACCGTCTATTTCTGTTTAATTGAAGGCTCTCGGCCGGGTGTAATCCACTGCTGGATGAACGAAGGCCCTCTCCCCCTCTCTCTCGGGTCTTGCGATGCCACCACGAAGCCCACTCGCTGCGCCGCGTCCCACGGATTTCATCGCTCCGTCTCCCAGCGTTGGCTGTCACCACAGCTCGTCAACCCGTATAGCCTTGGGGGGGCCCCCCGGCCCCCCGTGTTCCTGTACAGGGACATTGAGTTTGCAGGGCCCCATACGACGTACAGCCCGTTTCAATACAGGCAACACGGTGTTTTTTCTTTCGTCTATTCGTTTGTGTTTCTTCCCCCATTGTAATGAGACGTTTGTAGGGCGAACGTTGAGATTTATAAAGGCACAGGGTGACCCAAATACGTGTCTTGGAGCCAGCTGTGGCTTCTGTGTGGTTCAGCAACGCCAACACAGCGCCGTCTGCGCCAGTAGTGGTCGATGTTTTGCCGTACTCGTTTTCCTAGGACTAACATTTCTCAAATGTACGCTTTTTTGACGCTTTGGCAATCAACTATTTTTCGAGCAACGTCACGGGGATCTTTAATGTCCATCAGGAAGCATACCGCTCGTATGCAAAACGGCCACCGGTATTAACCAGGGGTGGCCCCACCACTTCAACCGCAAGGCCCTGCAACAAGCTGGAAACTCTCCACTGGTGGTACCTTGCTGCTGCTGCTACCCCGAGTAGATACTGTGTAATACTCTTTGGTTCTATTGGGTAAAGTCACGTAGGTAAAAAGTAAAATAACAAAAATCACGACGTTTCGGCCACAACACAGGCGGCCTTCATCAGGTGAAGGGGACGAGACTGTCTGGAGGACAGCGCTGGAGTGAAAAAAGCCACGCTCAGATCACGACCTTTAAGCTGTGTGAGAAGAAACAAAGCGCCTTGAAGAGAAGAAACAAAGCGCCTTCTTCTCACACAGCTTAAAGGTCGTGATCTGAGCGTGGCTTTTTTCACTCCAGCGCTGTCCTCCAGACAGTCCCGTCCCTTCACCTGACGAAGGCCGCTTGTGTTGTGGCCGAAACGTCGTGATTTTTGTTATTTTACTTTTTACCTACGTGACTTTACCCAATAGAACCAAAGAGTATGGATCCTAGCAGTCACGAAAGCTTTAAATCTAGAATACTGTGTAATACACAAGAGTGAATAACGCAAAGAACGGTCCTCGTGGATATTTGCGCAAAACCCACCTGCCGTGTCCTAGCCACCAAAAGGTTCAGAGTTTCAAAAAATAGCACGTGCGAATCATGAACCACTGTCTCCAGAGCACTGGATTGCAGGCGTCTGCAACACGCCAGCTCTAATCCTCTATTACCATAATTCCATCTGCGCTGACGATGTATGCAACGTAAGCCACTTTGGTGATTGTAATCAGTTGCGTGTTGAATGCTTTCGTTCCAGTCCATCGTACACAATGCAAGCGAAAGAAGCTGCTGTGGGGAGTGCAACAGCCACTGCACAATGTGGCAAACAAGATGAAAGGTGATGGGATGGGAAGCCACCGTAAAAATCTAATCCTACTTGCGTGCATGGTGAACCGTGCATAAGCGTAACACCACCGTCCCCATGGTGGTGTCTTATTTTGATTGCCACACGTGGCTGCGTGCTCGGCATGTAACGACGCATCGATTAATCCGTGAACGTTGATTTCAATGAGCTTGCTGTGTGGTTCAGAGGTCAGAGTGGCGTTTCATTTTGATTGCCAAACGTGGTTGCGTGCTCGGCATGTAACGATGCATCGATTCATCCTTTGACGTTGATTTCAATGAGCTTTCTGTGTGGTTCAGGGGTTGGAATGCTGAGCTGGCATTGCAAAGAGCATGGATTCGAAGCCAGACAGTTGCCTGGGATTTAGCTGGGTTCACAAGTGAAGTAGGTTAATGGTCTAAGTCCAGTCACCAAATAGCTGCACAAAAAAAGCCATCGTATTTAATGTGGTTCTACGCTTAATGTGGCAGATAGCACGATCAGGAAAAAATTACAAAAAAACACGTTATTAAGTTTTATTTTTTTTTGTTTTTGCACGAACAATGCATGAGATGATGTGGTTTATAATTAATTGTTTGCCGTTTATGTAAAGTTTGTGCTTAAGAAAATTACGTGGTTTGATATGATATTTATTAATACATAAGTTAACGGAATGGACAAACTCTCTACAAACGAAATAGAAAAAAGTCCAAGGAACAATACAAATGAGACACAAGATTGAGACGAAAAAATAGATTATTGAATGAAAATTTGGGTCATCAAGTGTTAAATGAATATTGTGTACTGTACGTGGAAGTCAAGTCAATGGTAAAAATGTGTCTGAATACTCAGGCAAGTGTTGAGCGGTGCTCATCTCCTTGAGCGGTCCTGAGCCTTTGGTGGAAATTATTTTGTTTGTATAATCGGAACCATGCTCTTCATTGGCCAACCTCTTTAGATTTATATAAAAGTGGTGCTCATTAATCGGTGGCAGCTGGTGGAACTGGGCCTTTCGAGTGAAAAATGTAATTGGGAAAAATTACTGTGTGCAAGAAAGCCCTCCCTTCCCTCGTCACCTCCCACCCTCTTCTTCTCCCCTGCCCACTGCGTCTTCACCTCTCCCCTGTCCTTGCTCTCCCTCCCCCAAAGGGCTTCCATACACCACACGATGCTGATTACTGCTAGCGGCTGTCCGGATGACGTGATTGCTAAGCTACGAGGTGATTTCAACAAACTACAACATCAGCTAGTTGCTCTTAAACTAGTCCTGAATAGCTCCAAAACCAAGGTGCTATGCTTCTCACCAGGACTAAAGCAGGAAGTTATTTTTCCCCAATTACATTCCTTAAATAATTATCAAATAGAGCAAGTCAAGATCTATAAGTATCTTGGGGTCTTCCTGGATTCAAAACTGATTTTTGAAGATCACATTGATTATATTGGTAAAAAGACAAAAATAAAATTGGTTTTCTGTATCGACACAAGCAGTGCTTCCCCCCCAATGTTCCGTTTGGAATTGATAAAAGCTACCGTACTGCCTCTACTTGGCTACTGTGACATCGTGTATGAATCAGCCCCAAGTACTGTACTGAAGAAGCTTGATTCCATCTATCACTCGGCCTTAAGATTTACATTGAACTGCCCATATAGGACTTACCACTGTGATCTCTACATTGGGTCAAACTTAACATCTCTTAATGTTCGACGGCTTGTGCACCAGATCTTATTTATTCACGATGTACTTACAAAAAAATCTGCAGACTACCTGCTGGGTCTCCTCTGTTTTAAAGAACAAATTTGACCTCAGGTCTTCGCTCATTTACCAGCTTCGCATTCCCTATTGCCGTACAAAAACTGGAGGAAGGGCCTTTGCTATTGATGCCCCCAGGGTCTGGAATGCTATTGCCAATAAACTGCAACTTGAATCGCTACCAATGAGATCTTCTCTCAAAACTTCTCTAGAGGAGTTGTACACCCCTAGCTGCCACTGATATTCATTGGCGTAAAATAAGATAAAATGTTTCGCTCCAGATGATGCTGCAAAGTATTATCTGTATTTTGATTTAGCGTGCTGATCTTAAAGGTGCATTGAAAAATTTGATACTCTGACTGATGCTTCTGTTGTTGTGGAGTAACTCATGCAGCCAGCTATGGCTCTAGGATTTGGTGTTACATGTTATTTATGTAGTTTATTGTAAAAATTCGGTCACAGTCCCTGTGATCACTGTTAAGTTGCAATTATGGCTTTATTTTTTGGTGATTTCGTAAACGTTTTTTGGTTTGGACATGATTGTTTTGTTGTAGTACGGAGTTAGACTGATGGTCTTAGTCTAAGTTTTCTTGTGGTTGTTGTGGTTGTTTGACTTGTATCCCACTGGGATTTCTTGCACACAGCGTTGGTGTACGGTGCTTTTTTCAGGAATATTTTGCTGTTTTTTGTCATGGATTTTCTGTTTGTACAGTCACATAGTCACTTTAAGATGTTTTTCTCGTTCGTGTTTTTGTTTTTTTGTTTGTTGTGGTTGCACCCGATTCAAGACCCGAATGGCTCACAGGGCTATACCAAAATAAATAAACTGAAATGAAACTGAAATGAACCGATATATTTACTCAGCAGCCACCACTGCTTACAATAGATGTACGATGAATTATGGGCCGATTTATCCCACAACTCAGATTTTAGCTCACAACTTTCTAATTGTAACACTAAGCAGTCATCTGTGCTCGTGAAAGTAGATTTATACCATACAATCCCACACAGCACCAGCAGACTCATGCCAAATACCATAATGTGTATCAGGTGCCTCAGTGTACTCTCTTGCGTGCATGCTTGTGGTCAGGCTTCATGAGACCCGGCTGTACATGGAAGTGGCAGACAGCCTTATGCCGATCGTTTACACATCCGACTACAACATCACCTTCATGGGGCTGGAGAAGATGCATCCGTTTGATGCAGGAAAGTGGGGCAAGGTCGTGCAGTATTTGAAAGGTGAGCGGCAGCTGTGTAACAGCAGATTGATCATGAATCTAAACTACTAAAACTAAATTATTATTTTTATTTTTACCAGGTAAGGCCCACTGAGTTACATAGCTCTTTTACAGAAGCGACCTGGCCACAAATGATAGCTCAACGAAGTTGGCTTGTGATGTGGAAATTTCTAGCAGCCAAATACTCTAAATGCACGTTTCTAAATGTGGAGGGGAAAACCGGAGGACCTGGAGAATAATCCACGTGACCACGGGGAGAACATGAAAACTCCAAATATACAGGCGTCGGGGTCGGGATAGAACCCACGATCTCCTGTATACCAGACAAGGTAGTTAACATATCGCCACGGTGGAACCGCAAATCTAGCCAGGACTGAAGTATCGAATATGTTGATCCATGTGTTTAAAAAATAGGCATTCCAAAAAGTCAGCACTCTAGCTCTTGCAAGTTCTTGCCTAGGTTCTTTCATGGGATATTTGATACAAGACTGAAGCTTTGTCAATGACAATACGTAGAGACTTAAAAGTCACGGACAAACACGTTGCCGTAATGTAGTATAGTGATGCCAATAAATTGATGTATTAAAAGGTATAGGTATGGGAATGATGTCATATTGTCATCACAGGAGTGCTATAAAGATTAACCACCTGGCTGAATTGTTTAATTATGGACTCAATTTGGAGGCTTTACATTTGTGTGAGACAAGGTAAGAGCTATTTTTTTATTGTTCCATCTTTTGTGGGCCTATGCTATATTTATTTTAAAACAACTTTTCTAGGATCTCAGCTTTTAAAATACAATGTCCCTGCTATTTTTACAGTGCCTTTTCTAGAGCATCTCAATCGATTCAATATATTTTTACACAGTGCAGATTTTGCAGTCTTCAATATAAAGTCGTGCCACATTTTCCTGTTTGTAAAGTTAGACACAGCAAATGCATAAGGGCGCCACGGTGGTGAGATATTAACTACCTCGCTTGGTATGCAGGAGGTCGTAGGTTTTATCCCGGCCGTGACACCTGTATTTTTGGAGTTTGCGTGTCTCTTTCCCTGTGGTCGCGTGGATTTTTCTCCGGGTCCTCCGGTTTTTCCATCCACATTTAAAATCGACGTCCATTTAGATGATTTGACTGCTGTAAATTTCCACGTGATAAGCTACTTTGTTGAGTTATCATTTGTGGCCAGGTTGCTTCTGAAAAAAACCTATATAGCTCAGTGGGTCTTACCTGGTAAAGTTAAAAAATTGTTTAGTTTTAGTTTATAAGGAAGAAATTGTTAAATACAATGCATGTGTGCAGCTCTTGTGTCAATGCAATGTACGTGTGCGGCCCTTGAAAGCGTCAAAAAATAACTTAATAGAAAATAATTCACAGCCCTTTGTCAATCCACTCCTGGATGAGTGCCTCCCCACGCTGTGTGGCTGGTGGAGGTTATTGCACCACACTCTACTTTCGCCTGCTTGGCAGTGTGGGTTCGTGAAAGCGGTCTGCACAGACTTTCGAGTATAGTACAATACAACAATAGATTTTTTTTTTGTACAACCCTCGTAAAACCGCGCCGCTATTAATGTTTAATTTCAAGGATGTCCACTTTATATTTTGCATCCACAGATGGCTCTTTCAATAAATTGCATTAAAAGAGACAATAATTGATGTCAGTGGAAGCAATACATATAATAGTGACTTGAGAAACATCTCCATGACTTTTGTGGTCTTTGGGGAATGTCTCCTTTGCCTATGACCAATTCAGCATAAATGTGCCGAATGTTGTCGAATATTAGAAGCCAAGTAAGTTTGAGAGTGGCTATACTTCTGTTAAACGATTCGAATATTAAGACTCTGAAGGGTTATTGCAATTTAAAGATGATGGTATACATCCACGTCTCTATGCAGTGCAGTAGACAACTAATTGAGCATGCGTCTTTTCAAACAGCTTAGATTCCTACCAGTTGGGTGCAACTCCGATGAGCACGATTGCCTACGCACAGTGCGAAAGAAGTTCAACCTACAAACATGTAGTCGTACATTAAATTGACTGCGTCTCCCTCATTCACATGGGCGATTTTTAAAGCTGTATTTGTTTGTTTTTTCTCCCTTTCTCCACTCACAATAACCCTCCAATAATCGTCCGTTCCCATGGCGTGCGCAGAGGCAAACATGATCACGGATGATGTGCTGGTGAAACCGCGGGAGGCGGAGGAGAAGGATCTACTCGTGGCTCACACCCAGCGCTACCTCAACAGCCTCAAGGTCGGCAAGCCAGCCGCCGCTGGATCCGCACGCAGGACGCTCGCAATACATTCGAACTTTTAAAAGCCACCCCCAAGGTGTGTGCAGTGCTTGGACCCCCCCCCCCTCCCCCGTGCTCTGTCCGATAATTGAGCCCCCCCTCTCTGGCTTGGCAGTGGTCCATCACGGTGGCCAGGATAACGGAGGTCCCTTGCGTCGCGGCACTGCCCAACGTGTTGGTGCGGCGCAGCGTACTGAGGCCCTTCCTGCTGCAGACGGGCGGCACTGTCCTGGTAAGGGTGCCACGGTGGAGAGATGTTAACTACCTCGCCTGGTGCACAGGAGGTCGTGGGTTAGATCCCGACCCTGACGCCCTGTTGTATATTTAGAGTTTGTGTGTTCTCCCCGTGGTCGCGTGTTTTTTTTGCTTCTCCCCGATTTTCCCTCCACAATTAGAAACATGCGTTTCAAGTATTCGGCTGCTATTATACATTTCCACATGCTAACCCACTTCGTTGAGCTACCATTTGTGGCTAGGTGATCTCTGAAAAACAGCTATATAGCTCATTGGGCCTTACCTGGTAAAATAAGAATAGTTAAAATTGTAAAGCTCAAGCTCACGGCCCATGTTTCTGTGAAACAAGGCCCTTTGCCCGTGCCACTGGAATCATGGGAAGAGCTATCTCCATTGTTTCGATTTACGCCTCCACACTCGGAGGAATTGTCATGATTCTGAGACGTCAATTGATTCACAAATCGATTATGTTTTTACCTGTGTGGTGTACGTAGAGTCTTTCGTGGTGTGAATCTGTCGATAAGGTCACTTGATGGGATCTCAGAGGTAGCTCTGTGACATCTGCTTTGCTTACATTAAGAGTTGACATGTCTACCATGCTGACTGTTTCAACCACCATACTGCAGGCTAAAACACTTCTCTTTCTGCTTCTACCCTTGAGTTTGGAATTCACTCCCATCGTATTTCCCCCCCAAGCAATTATGACATTTCTTAATGAGTAAAGGTGTGAAATCTTCTCCTTGATCGTGTTGTTTTTGCCCGAGTTAAAGGGTAAGTCCTTCCACTTTGAAAACAATAAAAAAGTGTTGCTTAAGTGTTAAACTCAGAATTAATCATGTGATGTGTGGTTGGTCAATATTGTAAGCTGTGCAATAGGTCAATTTCCTATGTCATAAAGCTTACAAACTTATGAGTTTTCTTGTGTTGGACAATCATGTTAGGCAGGAAAGCTGGCGATGGAGAGAGGCTGGGCTTTCAACATCGGTGAGTAATAAAACACATTAGTGTCGTGTATAATACACTCACATCTCAAGATAGCTGTTTAGATACGGTGGGCATATTTATTTTCATAGAGAGGCAGTCAGTCATAGGCGGAGGAAACAAGGGAAGTCTTGAGCCTAGACTCTTCATCAGGGGCAGGGAATAGTATGTATGTTGAACTTCTTTTGTACCGTGCATAGCCAACCATGCTAATCGAAGGTGCTGGAGAAAAACAACAAACTCAAAACTATAAGTCCCCAGCACGAATTACTGGGGTGGGTGAGAAGTTATGGACCATGGTGGCAGCAGAAGAGAATGAGTGACCTCCCGCTGATTGTAGACTTCGGGGCTTCAGTAGAAAGCCTCGGTTTCTGCAGTTGAAAGCACGCAGAGTGGAGGAGAGTGAAATAACGGGAGAGGTGCACGGAGGATTTTGATGACAGTGTGATCTTGAAAATGATCTGGGATTGGATTGGGAGCCATTGGAGGGATTGGAGTACATATTGAGGTACAGTAAAACCTTGGATTGCGGGTAACTTGGTCTGCGAGTGTTTTGCAAGACGAGCAAATTTTTTAAAATAAATATTAATTTAATAAACGAACGAGGTATTGCAATACGAGTAGTACGTATACGCTTTGTCTGCCCAGCGTCATGTGATCACAACTGATATACGAGTGCTTTGGATTACAAACACGTTTCCGGAACGAATTATGCTCGCAATCCAAGGCTTTACTGTAATGTGGTTTTGTCATCAAGTGTGGATAATAAGGCATCATTCAAGCCCATAACTTTATTACACCTAGAATGCGTGTGGGTAAATTATATATGCAATATAGTGGGTGACACTGACAATATTTCGGTGGATTCCAGGCGGCGGTTTTCACCACTGCTCCGGGGATAACGGTGGAGGCTTTTGTGTCTACGCCGACATTACCTTGTGCATCAAGGTCAGTTCACTGCCTTGGTTTCTACGCACAAGCAGAGAAGACCCTGCGAAGTAAACAGTAAACACTGCCATCGTTATATTTGATCTCTTTCAATCTTCTTTTGTACTTTCAGTGCAGCTGAATTATATCGCAATGTTTCTGTTGGCTTTATGATACAAAAGCAATAAATAAATTTACATCCAGAACCCTTGCAGCAAGCGGTGCATCTCTTTGTGTCGGAGGATGGCATCGCTGAATAGCTTCTGAAGTCGGCATTCTTACGTACGCTGTGCTCACATCTTTTACGTGGCCTCCAAATAATTTTCATCACATGTCATCCAAAAGTTTTTTTTATTCTCTCAGATCCCGGCTGAATCACGAGTGGCTGCTCTGATTTAAATTCAGGTTCCAAGCGATGCCAGCTCAGTGCTCTGACTTGGATTTATACAACTGCACCACTGGGCCACCTGAAAATTAATTGTTTTAAGTCACTGGAATAGACAAAACATTTGTATTGACTCATATTACCAACATGTCTGCAATTGCAGTCTTTACCGCAAGCTAATAAGACACCTGCCAGGCTTTCAGCAGTGGAAATGCCCACACACCAATTATGCTCTTCCTATTTTGCTTTGATGTTGCAGTTCCTCTTTGACCGTGTGGACGGCGTTGCCAGAGCCATGATTGTTGATCTGGATGCCCATCAGGTATGACGACGCCGTGACGGGCATGATTGCCATCTGTTCTGTGGACTAGGAGCACGGTTTTTCTCAGCAGACCCTTCCCATGGTGCAGTAATAACTTTTAGGCATTACCGGGTACTTCCATTTGTATGTTTGTATGTTGAAATTCTTTCGTGCCGTGCGAAGCCAACCGTGCAAATTGGAGGTGCGGGGGGAACGGCAACAAACTAAACACAAATCAATTCGAAAGAAATTTGGTTTTCAATCTAAATTTAAAAGTGCATAGCTCCAGTGGCCTCCTAATATCGGACGGAAGAGCGTTCCACACGGCCCCAAAAGCGCATCTGAAAGCGCGCGATGCGGTGACCACCGTCTTTTTTTCGATGGCCAGCTAAAAGCCGCTGCGAGGACGACCGGAGTTCGCGTGATGGTTTATGCTCCTTAACGAGATCAGCATGATACTGTGTTTCATTTGTGGCAATCGCTTATTGTGTAATGAAGGCGACCTTATAATGTATTCATTTGGCAACCGAAAGCCAATGCAGCTCAGCGAGCACTGGACAGACATGGTCGGATCTTGCAGTACCCATCACGATATGCCAAACGCTAATTCGTGGAAATGGCCAAACGTCCCGATGCGGGACCCTCCTGGGTGACCCTTTAGACGTGGTGCGGCTTAACTGGGAAAATAGAGGAGATTACAGCGTAAGTTGCCTTCTGTCAGGAATATGAGAATACAGAGCTTTATTCCTCCGACACACATCCATTCGGACTATTAGGAGAGCGCTAATGGGCATTTCATCTTCATTAAAGGAAGACTGAACCTAAAAAACACAGCTGTTGTGTTGGAACATGTTTAACAAGCTGCTAAGTGTAAAAGAAGCAGAAGTTGCCAGTCTCAGACTTGAGTTTCTTGTTCACGTCCAGCCCTTTTGGCTTTCCGAGCAGCTATAAATCGGCTGTCAGCGATCGCGACGTCAATGTTTCTTAGGCCGTTACTGTGCGCCGTTATTCGGTCACTCGTCACAAATTCGGAGCGGCGGCGGACTCCACGCATGCAACAACTGTCATTGCACGTGGATCGCCTGCAATCTCGAGGCATCGGCCTTCAGTAACATTCACGTCTCGGCTACGTACAGGGCGATGGGCTGAATGCGTATTCCTTTAAACGAGCGTGAGCCACGTGTGAGCCGATAACGTTTGTTAACTTAACACGGAGGCTTTCGCGACCAACAGCATTCATAATAAATATGGAAATATGTACCGCATATTTTATCATTAACATAATCCATTAGTACAGAGTTCGGCAATGAAAATAACAAGAAGAGCCATTTATACAAATTTCGGTAGAAAAGATTCAGTACTGTATTTCAAGAGCCGCAATGCATGTGAATACGAGACGTTGGGTCTTTAATAAATAACGTCATGAAGCAGTCCTTAAAGAGCCGCATGCGGCTATGGGGCTGCAAATTGCCGACCTCTGCATTATAATTTATACGATTACAATAAACTCCCCTCTAATATTTGCACCGTATAGGCTCACAGTCATGACAGTATCCTGCTCTATTTAAGACCAGAAGCAGGAAAACATCTTCACAATTCTGGAAAATCGACCGATGAAGTCGGTTGTAATCACCCGCGAAACGTCGTGCTCAATTGCAAATGTTGTGGCTTTACTCGCCATCGCACCGATGTGCTGAAGTCGTCGCTAATTGGCACGTTTTGTTCACGTCACAAACCTTACTGATTGGCCATGTCGGGTGGCGCAGGGCAACGGACACGAGCGGGACTTCATGGGCGACAGCCGCGTGTACATCATGGACGTGTACAACCAGCACATCTACCCGCACGACTCGGCCGCCAAACGTGAGAAGGCTCTTGACTGTTACTCATGCATCCTTGGCCCCAGTAAAGCTGAGAGTGTTGCATCCGACGGTTCGACGGAAATGTCACCGTTGCGTCCGCGACCCGTCTCCTAGCGATCGAGAGCTCAGTTCAAGTGGCAGACGGCTGTCACTCTGTGGACACGTCGCCCCGTCGTGATGCGCAAACTCCAGCAAATTTGCGCACTTCGGTTGACGGCCGACATTTCCAAGTGAAGGACTGCGATCCTCAAAGGAATGGCGCCGTCCACCGTGGTCGCCTCCCCCCGCTCGTGATCCGTCTGTGGATCAAACAAATCACTCGAGAGACACCAGGTGTTTGGCAGCAAGAGCAGTCGATGCGAATTCTGTCGCAAGAGGTCACACGTTTGGCGCAGTGGTCCCTCGCCGACTATGCGTGATGAATGTTGTGTTGGTGTGGAGGAGGTGGCCGGGTGACTGTGATCCGTGACTGATCCGGGGTTTCAATGCAATGTAGTCCCCCATTAATGAACCGCGTTTTCAACCTGATCACCAGTTATTTATGCAACAACAACTAAAACGACAGCATCTTATTCAATTCCTTTCTACGTGTAATTTTGTCAAATACTAAACAGTGTTTGGACTGGCAGTTATTAAATATTAGACTGGATTAAAGAGACCTTTTGATATATCAGGAGCAGGCCTGTGATGCCTCTTCACTGCAAGATGTTCTCAAACATGTTCTCAAACATGTTCTAGGAGAGATCTGCATGGACAGTTTGTCCCATGACACGACACTGATAGCACAATTGGACTGTAATTGGAGAAGAAGCAAGCGAGGCTCACTGTGGATGTTATGACTAGGTGACTCCTTAACAGATGGATGCTCGGCAATAGCTTACGGAGTCTATCGGGTCTTTTGAGCACTTTGTTTACAGAGGGGATTCTGAAATTTAGAAACGGCTTTTCTCTCTAAACTACATTTCGAAATCACTGCGAGGATATCGGTTCTATTTTTTTCAAAATTAAAAAACAATCATTTCTTTAAACAAAAAGGTTTTGGCTTTGTTCTTCACAGAGTGCTGATTGTCGTGGAGTGTTTATGCTTAAGTGAAAGATAATGAGATTAGGTGTCTTATCAAGCTTAGCTTAAACAAAAGACGAAAATTAATTACATTTGTGTTTGAACATGAAGACAAGCATATTTGCAGCATTTCCTGTTCTCAATATGTTTATCATGCTTTCATTAGTCACAAATAAAGTTTCATTAATAACTAATCATACTTTTATACTTTGCAACGTGCTGCGCAGTATTTGCTCACTCTCAGCGAGGGAACGACTCCAAGGCGCGAGGAGAAATCACAGACAAGCGGGAAAGCAGCCGAGCAATGAGGCGGCACCAAAAATTGCCCAAGCTCTGCTGTCCTCTATATATATGAAGGTGTTATCGGCCAACTAATGAGTAATTACATGTGTGAGGAAATCAGACGACCTGGAGAAAATCCACAAGTGCGAGGAGGGAACGCTCGCTTACATACAGATGGAACAGGTGGAGTCCACATTTTTGCTGTGCTGCCTTCTCCTGGCGAGTGCAGGGTATGGCACCTCCTCAACGCCCGTGAGAAGGGATTTATACTACAAGGCGTGTGCCAACACCGCCCGGCTAAATAAACATCGTCTATTTGTTGAAACTTGTGTGGGTCGATTGCATCCGTGCAGTCCGTACAAAATCGACCAGTGTGGCATCTTCATTTCTCGCGATGCGCCACTTTTTCAGCAGTTAGTCCTCCGTGATAAAACAAGGGATCCATCTCTCCAATTAATCCGAGCGGCCTGAAAACTGTAATCCATGCTCGCTATACTGCAGCTCAAAAGAAGATTAGAGTGGCTACAAATCTGTTGCCTGACACAAGGGCACATTAACGCAAAACCTCACACAGACCAGAGTGGTTGCAGCCTCCGCCCCCCGCACGCTGCGTCACCATTGTGGGCTCAGGACTGCCGACTTAGCTCGTGAGAAACAGATTGGTGCCGGTTTGGTTATTTACGTGGTGCCACACACAGCGCAGGGACAAAGAGGACATTTGCCCCCCCCCCCCTGCCCTCTGATGTGCGACACGCAAGGCCAGTGGCCCATCGGCCCATCGCAGCCTTTCACTGCGGAGGCTCAAGGAGGATTATCGGCGCGGCTTGGCAGGTCCCCCGGATTGCGGCGTCTGTCGGTTACAATGCAACGCGGGGATGACTGGGCACTGACCGCCACTTACGCCATCATACTACTGCTGCTGACGCTCTTCGCCGCATTCGTTTGCCTCTTTGTCCTGGTGTTCACGCTGAATCTTATCAGCCTGGGCATGCGAGGGGGAGGCTCAGGTTGAGGTGCCTTGGTTTGCTCAAGCAAGACAACCTTGCCTTGAGCACATCTGATTTAGAGAAGCGGTGAGAGGTCAACTGATGACAACAACTGTCCAGGTGTGGATTTTCTTCATGCGTTTCGCTTTGGCTCCACAATTTCATGCAGTGTTTCTTATGTTATGCAGGCAATGTTTGTTTAACTGCATGTGTTTGCGTGTATGTATGTTTAGCTTTTTTTCTCACCAAACTTACCCAACCGTGATAATCGTCTCGCCTTCTGTTTGGCACGATGCCCATCGTTTCGTTTCATGTGCTCGAAGCCTCGTTGATTCCCGAAGAAGTCAATGTTTAGGCTGTGGATTTAATGTATTCATTCTCCTTGCCTTGTCGACAAAAGCAGTCAACTCTTAGGTGTGAAGTGTTGGTGTGAGGTGTGCACAATATTTTCACCCTCGTTATTATTGGGTCAGATAATCGGTGAGCTCGCTTAATGTTTTACATACATAAGTAGCCAATTAACCTGTTTGGTCTTCCTCGAAGCACTACAGTTTCTAATAATGTCACATAACTATCCTAGTCTGTGTCTTCAGACTAGTTAATTTCATTTCGTCCTAGTCAGGGCACACTTTTACCTGTTTGTGGGTAGTGGTAGTCAATGTTCACTAAAATAAATAATCTTGATTTGAAGCTTTCGTGACTGCGGGAATCCATACTCTTTGGTTCTTTCGGTAAAGTCATAAAAACAAAATTTCTACCTACGTGACTTTACCGAAAGAACCAATAGAGTATGAAATGAATAATTTGCCTCGTATTTCCAGCACCGATTTCGTCGAACAAAATTGACCCAGCTCAAGTTTGGGCGCGCCGAAAAGAGCCCGGCACGAAAGACGTGCCAATTCGGCAGAGGACGAAAATTGAGAATCGCCGCCGCACACCCACCGGCGCTTTGCGCGTGCGTGCAGGCGGCATCCGCTGTTGCGTGGAGCTCGACTGCGGCACGCAGGACGCCGAGTACCTGCAGAAGGTGCGCACGGCGCTGGAGCGCTCGCTCCGAGAGTTCACGCCCGACGTCATCGTCTACAACGCCGGCACCGACGTGCTGGAGGGGGACCGCCTGGGCGCTCTGTCCATCACTCCACAGGTACTGGCGTGCCCACGGTCAGCACCGCCCCCCCCCCCCCCCCCAGCACGGTCGTCACCTACCTCCGTATAGCGGGGAGCTGATCGGCAACGTGCATTTGCTTCTGTCCTGGTTGGTTGGGTGAGCTGGAAGACGGCTTCGCGAGCAGTCCGAATATATAAAACGCTATCGGCGAACTTTGGAAACGTGCAGTGGTGTTACTACGTGAAACGTGGTTTTAAATTTAAACTCGCATGCAGACTCGTAGACTTAAAGATCCTTGGACCTTCTTTCGTTTGGCGAGTTGATCATTGTTTATGTGTTCATGTTGAGGTTCGTGAGCCAGTGGATGGCTTCAGCAGTGGTCTCGTGAATATCTGTGAGCAGACACAGCCATCTCTTCGACCAGATATTGGTCGCCAATATCAAGCCGTGAACACCACACAGTAACGTCACTGCGCACTTTTATCATTCGCTGGCAGCATTTCAGAAATTAATCCGCCCACTAGCTCACTCGACAACCTCGACATGAAAGTCAAAACGTCGCTGATGAACTCTCCTGCCAGTCGAAAGAAGACCCAAATGTGGAGCAGTTCCTTTAAGGGCCGAAATAATCTCTTTGACTGGTCCGTCTGGCTTGTGTTCTTAGGGAATCATCGAGCGCGACCAGCTGGTGTTCACGGCCGCACGCAGCCGCGGCATCCCCATTGTCATGGTGACGTCGGGCGGCTACATGAGGCAGACGGCAAGAATTATCGCCGACTCTATCCTGAACCTCCGGCAGAACAAGCTCCTCGGCTAGGGTCCAGACTTCGAGACTTCGAGACTTCGCGGCCCTGCTCGGACACTGGCTGCCAACCTGAATTTGCATGATGTTAATTTTTTGAAAATACAAAATGGTGTATATTGTCGATGATGAGTTTGTAAAAAGTTAAAAAAATATATATGGATAAATGTTTGTATATTTTGCCAATTGGTATGTCCATTGGTAGAGATTATTTAATAATTTTGGGTCTAACACTTGTGCTGAGTGGTATAATTGTAACGGGTCCATCAGCTGGCGGCCCAGAGGCCACGTGACACACAAAGGCTCTTGGGAGTGTTCCGCTGAACTATGGCCTGCTGAGACATATGGTTCACAGAGACGTAAAGAGATGCGGATTAAAAAGATGAAAATGAACAAGGGAGAGATGAGATATCTGGAGACGAGAGGTACAGACAGTAGTCGTCACATTGACATCGTGTGGCCTGCCAGCATGCCAAGTTTTGAAGAATCCTGATCTCTCATGTAGGTATAAATGGGACACTTTAGAAATGGGTAAGGATACTGGGGGGACGCAGAGTGCTGTGTCTGTTCTTGGTTATAGAATAAGAATATACTGGAGGAGTCCGATGAGCTAGGAAGCTCTTAGTTCACAGATGTCCAGTACTCGGTTGAGATGAAAAGGATTCAAACGCTGAAGCCGGCATTCACATTTTGCAAAGTCCACCTTCGCGGAATCCTCTAATCATGTCTCTCATCATGTTTGTTTTGGGAACATTGCAATGTGTGGTGACTACATTTTCTTTATCGCTGTGATTGAGGCAAGTCACGACTCACCGCCCCACACCCCATCCAGGCGATGCGTTAAATCGTCGCAATTCAAGATCACAATTAGGTGAAAGAAAATGTTTGTCTCTTCTTTTTTTTTACACCATGTTGATGGTGTTCTAATTCTGTCTTGTGCAGTTTTGTTTGATCGTTAGCTTATATGTGACGTGATTTCATGAATTGTTAATGGGCTGATGCACTAAAAAATTATATTTACATGTGGAGAGACAGAAGGGAGTTCTGCTTATATTTGCTTTTAACCATGATGCTCTATGGCAACGCATTGAGTTTGCGTACTGTATTTCTTTTTTTGCGTTAAACAGGCTCCCATGGTTTACATGGAGTGCTCTCGTCAATTACATCTGGTATTCCAGCAGCGTTTGTTTAACAAGACTCTGCTGTTGAGACCCAGAATGTCAAAACCAGTCCATGGGTTTCTTGTATAAACAAATGCTGCTTAAAAATGTTCTTCAGTTTGCTGATGGACTCAAGAATATTGTACGATGCGAGGCACAGAATGGGGGTTTCTGCTTATCATTTTTATTTATACGTCGTAAATAATCCACTCCGACCAGTGCCGGATGACGCTAGTGCGGGGCCTGTAGCATCTAACCTATAAAAGGCATTTTTTGTCTGTCTGTCCCTCTGTCTGCGTACGCTCGCTTGCGGGGGATTTGGCTCTCAGACCGCGGGGTTTAGGCCGAAAATTTTTTGCCGGGCGACACGCCCCGGGGCCCGCGGTGGGAATAGGCCATTTCGTTTTCCCATCCCTAAACTTGAAAGTGGTTAAAATCGGGTTCTGGCGCGAATCGCATTTATTTATTTATTTACTTTTGCCGAGCGGCTCGCTGCTGCGCATGCCAGAAACGCCGACACGCGTTGCCCCTGGCAACGCACAGACGCCGTCGCTGCAGGGAGGACGCCATATCTCATTCGCGTTCAAAACGCTGACAAACCCGGTGGCATTGGCATGATACGAGCCAATGCTAGCGAACTCGGGGGGGTGATTGTGCCCTGATGCTGACTTGATTGAGGGCGATGTTGGCACGTAAAATAAAGATTGATTGATTGAAACACTTTACAAGAGAAGGCTGCAAAGTGGGACTAAAGCTGAATGATAGGGGAAAAAACCCGGAAACATCGGGTTGGCGAAACAGAAGCACTACGCTTATTAAAAGGAAATTGTGACAGAGGGGGAGCAAGATCACGATTGTGGCGACTTTGGACAATGTCATTTGAGAACGTGAAGTAACGTACCAGTCAGTGTGCCTGAAGAATACATCTTTAGTTACACTTCGTTCGCGCCGTACGTAGCCAGCCGTGCTCGTCGGAGGAGGTGCGGGGGAAGGACAACAAACTAAGCACAAAAAGGCAGTTCGAAAGAAATGAGTTTGTCAATCTAGATTTAATAGTGCATAGCTCCAGTGGCTTCCTACTATTGGAAGGAGGAACGTTCCAGACGGCTGTGTAAGGGCTGATGCCCCCCCCCCATTCCCCATTAGGTGGGGGGGGGCGCCACGTCTAATTGGTGGGGGCTGATGCCCCCCTCACCCCCCACGCGCGGGGGAGGGGGCGGGTGCGACGTTTGCCACCCCCGTCCCCTCCGCGTTTGTGTCTCTCGGGGTCCCCCACGCCCCCGACCGGGTGACCGCCCCCCCCGTACCAGGGTCCTCTCTGACCGACATAGCTAGCGGCTGGCCGACACGGCCTAGGGGTTAATTACGTGCGTGCCCGCCCCCCCCTACTCGCGCGTCCTAACCGTGCGGTTAACGTATGTTTGGAGTTAATTAATTATTCCCACGACGCCGTTGTGTTAACAAGGCGAAGGGCCACGGGGGTTACTGACCAACTCGCTGGCAGCCACCGACGCTCCGGAGCGGTCCGGATATTAATGAATTAATCGGCGCTCGCGCGGTACCCACCCACTGATTTTCTCTGCGCGATACCCGCGTGTGCCTTGCCGTTAATACTGCGGTTCTCCCATGTACACGCGCTGGCGCGGGCAACCGTTTGTGTTTTAATATGCGCGCGCGTCATACACACTCTGATTTATAGTCACCCTTACACACCATCGTGCGCCGATCGCTGTCCCACCGCTCTTCACACACACACACATGCACCACGCGTCACAACGTCAGTCTGTGCTAAGGGTTTATTCCCGGAGCGAATAGTGAACCCCTGTTCAAGGCCCCCTCCAGCCAGCACCCTTCGGACAGCGCCTAACCTATCGCCTGGCCGTCGCAGAGTGCGTCTATCCTCCAAGCTCGAGCTGACTGCGAGCTGGGCTGAATTGCCCCCCCCCCCCCCGTACTTACTCACCTTTCCAGCTGCACGATGGGGGTTGGGGAAGATGCCCGCCTCGGAGACTTTGCCTGGCCAATCGTTTTCAGCTGCACCCTGCAGGCGTCCCACGGACGCTGAGGGCGGCTGGTATTCTCCACCACTCCAGAAGAACTCTGACCCAATTTTCCCTCCTGGCCCCCTTATGTTCCCAAAGCCCCTCAATCTCCGGGTCATATGACGTCATCCTGCGCATCCTATTGAATCCTCTCTGCAGCCGTTTTGAGCGCTCTGGCCGTTGGGGGGGGGGGGGGGGGGGGTTACGTCCTCCCCCCTATTTCCATTGTCTCTGTACCTGCGTTCCCCACCGCTGACTCACCGATAATCCCCTCGGGCCCTCTCTCTTAAATCCTCCTATATGCCTAGGGGCTTTTCCCTCCCACCCCACTGTTTACACTGCCGCAGGGTGCTTGCCTTGAGGTCCCATCCCCCGTGTTGGGTATGCTTAATCGCGGCCGGCCTGTAAAGCTCTATGCCCCATTTTTGGGGGGGCCGCCATGTAATCCGGTCTGGGGGGCTCAGCCAATCTCCGGGTTCGGGGAAACCGTGGAATGTCCCTGTTAATGGGGTCCTCTGGTGAAACCCATCGTACCAGGTGATCCCTCCTCGAGACCCTACGGGGGTGCATGTGAGTGTTTAGTGGGGCGTGAGTGCGTTCGTGGAGGGGGGGGGGGTGCGAAGAGAGGGTAGCGCCGGCTGAGTTGCTCCGCTGCGGTGGCACCACAGCTGCAGAGGCGCATCTGAAAGCGCGCGCGATTATTGTCATGCTTTCCATAACATGGATTGTAAACTTGGCCCTGACTCGCTATTAATGAACAAAAGCGCGCCAAGTAAGCAACGAATCATTTAGGGTTGCACGCTGGGAACTACCGTGCACAGAAACTGGGACACGTGGGTCAGAGAACAAATTGGTAATTGAGACGCGAAGCGTGGACCGAAGTGGCCTTGGGCAGGACGAAGCGAGCAGGGATGATGGCAAATGGGCGAGAAATGGTGATGGAATGGCAATTCAAACGAGGAATCGCATCGGAGGACGACCACAGCACAGATGGAGCGACATCAGCTCCCCCCCCCCCCCCACACAAGGGCCGTGGCAACGGCGTGGGATTACCTTCATCCAGCAGTGAATAGAACATGGCTGATTGGTGACTCATTTGCTTTGACGATTTAGAAAATCCTTCCAGGGAACCTTAAAAATAGTTCGGCATTGCGTTTCGAATGATGCTCGGTACACGCATGCTGTCATGTTCTCTCACCTTTACAGTAGACAGGCAGATTGTCTTTAAATAAAGGTAAAACTTAAATATATTGGCTTTTGGTGTGATGTCTTTAAATATTTTGAAATGCACAAGGACTGTTGGGTGCTAGTTTTCGGTACTATATTGCTTACGACCGAGGAAGGTATCCTGAATATGACAAATTTTAGCAGATCTCGGAAGCTAAGCAGAGATTTGAGCCGAGTGAATGGTCCGATCGGAGACTGCCTGGGAATACCAGGTGTTATAGGCTCTGGCTGAGAAGTGGCCAGGAATGGCAGTACGGAACACAGAAATACATTGAATCTAACCACATTTGTATTTGGCGTTATCCCCTTTATTACAATCTCATTCGCTGTGATTCTCAGTTCACGTTCACCACCAACCCTTTTCTGTCACGACCTCTGCAAAAGATGGGGCAATTGTTCCCCTACACATTCAGCACGCGTTTGCAAACCTCGTGTCGTTCGGCGACCTCTCGTAGGAATACAAACAATAAATCGACGAAAGCACAACGCTTGATTTTATTTCAGAATTCATCATCCTCCACTGCTTACATCCAGATTTCCGGCTTACCCCAAAATTTTGGCCTCCAACAAATTATAACGAACCCGAAATTACAGCTGACTCTAAATTCCAGTTTACCCTGAATGCCGACTTCCTCCGAATTCCGGCTTACTCTATATTTTTTCATAGTTGCGCATTTTGATGTGACGTCACATATACATTTTTACTTACCCGAAATTACAGCTTACCGTACAGTACTCTGAATTCCGGCTGAGTCCGAAATCCGACTTACACCCCCAAACTTCAGCTTACTCTGATAATCTGGCTTACCCCCCGACTTCCAGCTTACTCTGAAAATCCGGCTTACCCCCAAAAATCCGGTTTACTCTGAAAATCTGGCTTACACCCCGAATTCCGGCTTACTTTCCAAATCTGGCTTACCCCCCCCCCCCCCCCAATTCCGGCTTACTCCTAATTTCAGGCCACCACCAAATTCCGGCTGACCCGAAATTATAGCTCTGAATTCCAGGTTGCCCTGAATTCTGGCTTAATCTGACATCCGGCTTACCCCCCCCCACCCCGAATTCCGGCTTACTCTGAGGATCCGGCTTACCCCCGAATTCCGGATTATTTTGAAAATCCTGCTTACCCCGAATTCCGGCTTACTCTGAAAATCCGGCTTTCCCCCGAATTCCGGCTTACTCCAAATTTCGGTCACCACCAAATTCTGGCTTACTCCAAACATCGGCAAACCACCAAATTCCGGCTGACCCGAATTTTACAGCTTACTCTGAATTCCAAGTTTCCCCGAATTTCGGCTTACTCAGAGATCACCGGTAATAATCCAGCTTATTACCCACCACGGGACCGGCTGGGGGGGGGGGGAAGAGGAGGCGTGATCGCGGCATTTAATCGCGCCGATGCGAAGTCTCGCGAGATTTCACGTTGGCGGGAATGCGCGGGCAAAACATGGCCGTCGCCGTCGCCGCTGCTGTCTCGCGGCCACCGCGCGTCGCTTTTGTTTCATGCTGAGGGAGTTTTTTGTTTTTTTTAGCGCATGGTCATTGACGCATCCTCAACTCGCGTCGCGGATTAAGTTGAGGGGAGGGGGGCAGGGGCAGCCATGGGATTTCTGAAGCTGATCGAGCTGGAGAACTTCAAGTCGTACAAGGGCAAGCAGATCATCGGGCCCTTCAAGCGCTTCGCCGCGATCATTGGGCCCAATGGCTCGGGTAAGACTGCGGCCCTGTCACACGCACACACACGCACGCGTGCGCGCAAAGATAAAGATCCTCCGTGTAGCCTTCAACAGATTTTGGAGCAAGTGCTGTCAGCGATGCATCTGTTTTGAGGACTGCACGGCACGAGAGGGAGTTGTGTGTCCAGCGACGCGCCCCTTCCGCCTTTGTCTCCCGCTCCCATCGCACCAGGTACCTCACGGAAGGGCTGAGTCGGCCTCGGCAATGCCCAGGACCGATTCGGATATTCGTAACTGATGTTGGCCGTGAGCTGCGAACCGTAACTTGGATCACCGGGTTTCGTGGCGTGCGCGTAGTGCGCTAACCGCTGCGCCACCACTCTCCCCGCTGTCAGCGCAATGCAAACAACAGCGGCGACCTGCCTGCCTAAACGGCACCGCACAAAACTAAACGCTGAACAGCGCGAACTAGCAGCGATGTAAATACGAACGTTCGCCGCGAGTGTCGTGTGCGTGCTAAACCGCGCGTCGTCGCTGTGCGAAAGCGGCAGGGGTTGCGTGCTCGATCGGGTCTTAGACAAAGTGAAGGCGCAGCCCCTGCAATTGCCCGTTAGCGCCTCTGCTGGCGGAAAAGCTTCCTCCCACGAGAGGAAGCTCTTCGAGCAGTGTGGATCTCAACCGGTGGGTACGCGGAGCCCTGATGGGAGAGTCTGGCGGGGTAGGGGGGAGGGGGGCGGTACGTGAGTTGATTTATTAATGTATGAAATGAAATG